TCGCAAAAAATTACAAATTTGACTATATCTCAGTCATTAACAGCCCAAAAATCAAATGGGGCTCATCCCCAAGGTCGCGGGTGTTTAGAGGTGTACCCTCATCCATATCTGCAAATAGCCTTATGTAGGTATGGCATACCCATGCAATAGGTTAACGTGGAGCTTATACATTTTTACGAAACAACGTGCGCCAGGGTGTCCTCCTCCTCTCAGAGAGATGCTTTGTGAAATAAAACTAAAGTACAGCCATTTTTTTACTTCTTGCTCTCGAAAATCGGAGAGGTGGTAACACTGATATCTATACAAGAAAGAGGACTCCGCGGAACTAGAAGGATATTGAACTTGGCGTGAGGACGGGGTATCATATGGATGAAGACGAGAATGATTGAAGAGGTATCTGAAAAATGAGTGTAAGAAAATATCTAAAATATGCCAAGGAAGGTTAGCGGATACCATAGTGTCGGTGGAAACGTGGGGAACATCCTATTTCACTTGTGGCATTACTCATAAGCCCCTGATATGGAAGAGCAAGTTAGGAAGCATTAAAGTACGAAATGAAAATTTAAAAACGTACACATCTGTACTTTGCCATCCTTCCCACCCGTCACAAGAATTTTCCCCCCTTGACTGAAATCAACAGAGGTGACGGAGTCGTTGTGCCCTTGTATCACGCTGTGTAAAGTTGCCGCCTCCAAGTCATAGAATCGGATGCAATTGTCACCGGAGCCTGACACAACCCATTTTTTGTCGGGTGAGACAGAGAGGGACGTAACGCCTCCCTGGATGATTGCCTCGGTTATCAGGAGAGGCAATATATACGAAGGGTACATACAAACCTTGTTCCCAGTAAGTCTCGTCGTGCATTGAATAAGTGGTTCTCCTCCCGCCATTTTTCTGTGATTTGCCAAAGCCTTTTCAGTGTCAAGCAACGGACTGACGTCCAAGTACTTCAGTGATGCATCTTTACTTGCGATCACCAACCCTTTCCAGGCGAGTTGGACAAACGCAAGACTCTTCACTGCATATTCATCCCCCACAATCGTCTCCATCAACCTCGCGCGTTTTTTGTGTATTTTCCATACTTCTATAGATCCGTTTCTGCACCCCAGAGATACCAACTGGTCCGGTAAAAAGGCGATCGAGAGAATAGACCCGGATGTTGCATAAATAATTTTGCACGCTCCATTCTCCAAGGTCCAAATTCGCGCGGTGTTGTCATAACACCCTGCCACAAGCATTTTCCCATCCGTCGAGAAGCATAGTGATGAAGTCCTCGCTTTGTTCCCACTAAAGGTGTAGTGAACTTTCCCTGTAGCGGTTACTATGACCTAGTTTGATGGTTATTTTACCCGGTACTGCAAGCGAGGGGGAAGGCGCACATCGACTTTCTCTTTTTGACCCCCAACTGCCAACATACTACCGTCTGGGCTGAAGCATATTACTCGAACCACATTATCCGTCGGTAATGTCCTGAATGTAAGGTTTATCAGATCATAGAATCACCATGAACGTCATGAAACCAACCATGTCTCTATACCTGTTACAGCATCGTACATGTGCACTGTTCTACCACACGCTACCGCAAGGGATTTCATATCAGAAGAAATCCGAACACACTGCACCGGGCTATTACAAGCGATGAAACACAAATCGTCAACGGTAAGAATCACCTTCAAAAATGGATCACCTTTCGTGGTTAAATGTTCTGACCAAGGTTATGTCAAGTGCGTGCTTGACATTGGGGTTGAGTGCTATAGACCAGTCTGTACCCACACGTTTCCATTCAGGAGTAAAATTCGTGATGTTTAGATTTTCTGGCGACTCTGACGTGGTTGACAATGGACTGGAATCGTTGACGAGGGGATTCACAGGCCTTGCATCACCTGGCTCGCTGTCAGTATCGCTTTCTTCTGTGGGATCTAGCCCGCGATCGAGCTGAGCTCTTAAACTGTTGACCTCATCTTCAAGTTCATAGCATCTAGCACCGCTCACTTCGAGAGCCTGGTGAAGAGTACGTAGTTCATCTGCTTGTGAGGCAACTAAGACATGCGATTAGGAAGGTGAATTGCCTCGCACGGTGATATTAGGATCCCAGCGCACCTTTTCTCTCCAGCTCGTCTCTAACCTCAGAGGCGATACTCATTTTCAAAGCCAGGGCGTCTAATTCTTGCCTGATTACACCAAACGATTGGTCCGTACTTTCGTCACTGGCCTGGGAACGAGGAAGCGATGTTCCAATGGCCTGAAGTCTCAACAACCGTACGTGGTCCTTGGACATGATGAGGTGTGGTATAAAGGAGAATGAATGTTACCGAGCTCGAGGTTATGGGAATGATCATGGAGTTTCCATTTATGTCACGTGGGTCAGTAATACAACTTCGCCGAAACAAGGCTTCGTTCTTTTCGCGTCTCAAGTAAGACTCCACTTTTTCTAGTGTAAGCTCTTTGCAACGAAACATACGGGGCATTCAGACATCCTCCCTGCACAAGATGCATCGATGAACAGTAAGGCGTGCCTTCCCGAGACGGTTGCTTCCGGTGTGTTCGACGTCCGTGTTGACCTTCAATGCCCCCTCGCTGACCTTTCTTCAACTGAATTGGATCGAATGTAGGCCGAATACGAACTGAAGAGGCCTCAGCCCATGGTGCATTCTCCGAAAGATATTATTCCCTGTTCTGAAGCCGAGGTTCTTCATCAGAGATCCGTCCGACGTTGTTCGACCCTCGAGCTCTGGCGGCGGCTCTGCTGCGTCCTTATGATTCGTGGATCGCTCCATGGCATTCCAGCTCTTTGACTTTCCAACATGCAGTCGTTGTTCATCTCCCGAGTAGTCGACACCTTTGCTCATCACCTGTACTTACCGAATAACGGAAAACCTCTCCCCCCTTCCGTCGTCACGTCTTCTTCGTGCACCGTTACTAATTAGGGAGCTACCTCTACACTCAATCTGGATGGTGAGTCACTGAAACTTTTTTTAAATGGTACCAACAATGCTATTCCTCGGATAGAGAAAATTCACCCTGGAGCTACGGCATTAGATGTGCCCCTTTCCACGACCTCTCTTCCTCTTCACCAGTGGATCACGCACACGGAATAATGATCATTTTCGGGCGGGTTTTCATGAGATGGAACTTGGCGTACCGCCTTTACTCTAGACCATCAAGAGTTCACAACAATGACGAGCCTGGAGGTTAATAATGGTTCATTCTCTTCACAATCTGCTTAGACTACCCGAACAGGGCCTCACAGCCGCGTGAGGACGAGAGAGGCGGCACTGACAGGGCATTAACGGCTGGAACTTGCTCGACACACTCTTAGAATGGCTACAAGGTTCGTTTGGTATTATCCCACTACTTCGTCCATGCTTATATTGGGTTACATGTAGCCGGGGGTTGCGTCCGCATCCTCCTCCCAATCGAATAGCGGACTGAAATTCGATACGCGTTTTCGTTGGAGAGTCTGACTGGCGCTCCATCAACCCTTTTTTCCCTCTAAGCCTACTACCATCCACCCCAATGTTCGCCCCTTCAAGGACTGTCTTCTTGCCACATCTGTTCTGGGTTTGTATGCCCTCATTCGTTCAATCGCACTATCCATCCACTCATCGTCTACACGACCGAAGGCCCAGCACATCGTTATCTAGACTCGCATAGAGGGAGAGGCGGTGGTTGAGTTGGGCGGTTGACGGGGAGAGGTGAGAGTGAGGGAGAGGAGAGGGGAACGAGGGGTTGGGAGTGGACACACATATTAGGCCGTTCAAGTGAGCGTCTGAAATTCGCAAGTGGGCTGCCTGGACTGAGGTGAATGTTTTGTTCGGTCCATGGCATCTTGTATTCAAGCTACGGCATGTTATTGCTTGCCGTTGAGGCCGAGAAAATCGGAGACATCTCCTCTGTTTCTCTGATCATCATGGCCCATCCGCTCTGTGCTACTGCTAATTGATGACAAAGCTAGGTTCTAACCCCAAGGTTCAATAACGGTTCAATGTCGACAATGATCTAAGTATGGGGATACGACACCGAAATGTCAGTACGGGTATATTCAGCCACCTTGATGAGTCCCGTCACCAAGTGGCCCTTCCAATTCCCCATAGTTTCTACTTTCAAGCGACTCCAGAACCCAGCCGCATCATGCGTATGCACGAGCGGTGCAGACAAAGAGAGTGGAGCGATGCTTCGCTTATCGTCGAGTGGTAACCGGTAACCTGTGTAACGTTGTGTTCAATTTACAGTACCTGAATGGCGTACGTAGCTTACTCCGACCAGTAAAATTTTAAGTATCTGCCAAACAAAAAATGCCAATCGAAGCGTAGTACGGGTCATAGGTCAAGGCAGTAATAAGTCAATGAACGGTAAATGGGAGCATCGTACGGAAACCCTCCCCACACGTAAAAATTGGATAATCTGGGGTCCAGGTCGTAATTTGGTCACATATGGAGTAAGAGGGCAGTCCACTCGACTACAGCGTATGCCCTCGGGGAAGATGCCTCAGGGCGGTTAAAGCTTCGACAAAGAGGGCGATCCGTGCGACAACATAGATCACAATGCCATTGAAATAAACACAAGAACATATTCATTTCGGCGATGGTATGCATCCCCAAAGCCGCTGCCATAGCTTGAGTCACAAAAGTGCACGGGATAATGAAAATGATTATAGAGGATACACGCCAGATAATCAGCTCTGCGTGAAAGGGGAAGGGGAAATTCCAGCCAGCACAATGGGGCTTGCTTTCATTTATTTGCGATCAACTCCGAGATCGACCTCGAATTTCTTGACCGAGGCAAATGACACTGATTCCATTGTCAACCAAGAAGTCGATCAGGTCGAAATGTCGCTTAGAAATTGGCCTGGTTCAGTGGCAGCTCGTGCTCTTTTTCATTTACTCTGCATGTTTCGTTACTCCCTCCGTGCTTACGCTGTCGAGTCTCGTTACTTTCGTGATACGCATACGTATATCGTCCTCCGCCCGATTCACTCCACATACTTCGTAACTCCCTCCATGACTTCGAAATCTCGTCTCTGTCGTCCCGGACACTCTCAGCTCTGTCGTTTTCACCTTTTGCTACTTGAACCCCGTCTCGTCACTAAGAACAATTATTATTTTTGTATTTCACGCAATCTAACCCCCCTTCAGTACAGGCACAGTATCCGATGCTCTTGGCTAGTATTTTCAAGTCTGAGCCGTCTTTCAACGACGCTGGCTTTGCGCGTACTGGACATGAACAGCTGATGTTCCACACATCTGATTGACCCCCGAAACTCTATTGGGGAGTTCAACGCCGACCATAGGAGCTGGTCGAGGAAAGGTGCCAGATCATGAGGACAGACTTTCCAAGTCCCAGCAAATTGTGCTGTGAGGGATGTCAGATAGGTGGATGTTGTGTGCACAATGCGGTGGGCTTAGGCCGCTTCCCTGGTGCCGACTGTCGATGTCGGACCGTGTTTGCACAAACGAGACCGCGCCGTCGATTGACGTATAGGGAGCGTTGCCGTGTTGTGATTGATAGTCGAGCTTGTGTCAAGAGGTGGTTTGATGAAGATGAAGATGGATGTTCGCGTCTGTGATATAGAGCTGATGGTGATCCGTGTCGTATAGGACTCGAGTGACTCTGGCGGGATCTACCGGGATAGGTTGACTATTGAAAAGAAAAGTACGTTAGCCGCAATGTACTCAAGGTCTTGCCAGACGACTTACTTTACTGGAAGGTCTTTCCAACGATACACCCAGCTACGTCGTCCAATGGGACCCAAATGCACAATAGGAAGTATTCACCCAGCGGTAGTTCCTAGCGTTCGAAGACGAAGAATCCTTGTGTGTCCGATGTGGGAGAATGGAAGGTGGACGGGTCCGTTGATGGTTGAGTCGAGCTAAAATCCAGATTGACTCAAAAGAAGATAGGGACAGCTGGAGGAAAAGGCGATAGATTGGAGTGAAGTCCAAGCATCAGTTTGACGGCAACGATAGCAGGTGGAGGCCGTCGTGTTGGTATAGGCTGCTGTATTGAGGATGACTGGAAGTACCAAGAGAGCTCGGAAACTGACCAACCTCTGCTTGGGCGTACTTTTGTAACGAGGAGCGGAATGAAGACTATATTAGAACTTAGAAGGAACTTCGAACGAAATGAGAACAATCAGGTAAGATAGAGAAAACTCACCAATGGCGACGAAGCCTTGAACTTTGCAAGAGCTCGCCGGTGTCGATTTCGTTTCTGTGAAGAGAACGTTTTCAGCAACTCAAACTCTCCGAGGCTTTCAACATGAATCGTAAAAGAATGCACAAAACAAGAGGCGTTACAATCAACGTCAGATTCGTCACATCCTGTGGTCACAAACTTGTGACAAAGCTTCGCCGAAACCACAGCTGGAGTCTGGACTTCACTTTTCTGGTGTAGGCTCTATGCAACGAAGCATAGGGGCAATTAAGACATCCCCTGCACAAGAAGCGTCACTGAATAGTAAGGGTGCCTTCCCGAGACCAATTCTGAACTCCAGAGTCAATGACAACAACCAAACCGCAACGTTCAAGTACTGAGATCAAAGGAGGGTTGTTGAAAGGCGACAAAGGGTTGCTTCTGGTATGTTCGATGTACATGTTGGTATTTACTCCTTCGCTGACCTAACGCTGACTTTTCTTCCGCAGAGCATTCGTTCAATGAACTCGACTGAGTTTGCCCCCTGAATACGAATTCAAGAGGCCTCAGCCCATGGTACAGCTTTCGAGAGATGTTCTGAAGCTGAGGCTCGTCATCAGAGATCCGTTTAACATTGGTCGACCCTCTAGCAGCGGCTTTGCCGTGTCTTTTTAATTCGTGAATCGCAACCGTTGTCCATCTCACAAGTAGGCAACACTCTTGCTCATCACCTGTGCCAAGTGACGGAAACAGCGATCTATCTCTACAGACGAACTGGACTGTGGGTCTCTTAAAATTTTCCTATATGGTGCAAACAACGCCATTCCACGGATGGGGAAACTTCAGCCCTCGAGCTACGGCATTGGTGGCGCCGCTTTCCACGCACTCTCTTCCTATGTCCTCCTACTACCGCCTACGGCTACTCGACATTGTTCTGTTTCTCCTTCGCCCTCTCCGGTGGTCTTTCTACGTTCAGGGATCGTGTTTATTGATATTTTTTGTACTTTGCTTTCTGATACACGCCCACAGAGATTCGTCATTTGTTAGAGGGTTTCTACGGCAAACTCCCAAGATCAAGGATAACTGCATGTTGAGAGACCGTATACGCGAGGTATGTGAGTGCTTTTACTCCGTCATAAGTGTATTTACTGAATTGAGTCGCATATAGTATTTCCAGATATCGGACTAACTCTCGGACCCGCAATGTAAGGCAGCCTTCCTAGACGTTGTTCCATGTTCTATGTAGTATAAGCCGATCCCGAGTCGACTTTTTATATAGTTTGGCGCTGGAGACAACCCGAATGAAAGCGAGGAGCTTATACATTTCTACGAAACAACGTGCGCCAGGGTGAATCTCAAGGACAGTCAACCTCTCAAAAATCGGAGAAAGGTGGTAACAATGATATCGAGGACTCCGTGGTACTGGCAGAATATTCCTGAAACTAGCGTGAGGACGGCGGATCATAGATAATTTTGGATAAAGGCGAGAACGATCGAAAAAGTATCTGCAAAATGAGTGTAAGAAAATATCTATAATATTCCAAGGAGTGTTGGCAGATACCATGATATCGGTGGAAACATGAGGAAAATCCCAGTTCACTTGCTGCATTACTCATAAGCCCCTGATATGGAAGAGCAAGTTGGGAAGCATTAAACTTCGAACTAAAATTTGAAAACGTACACATCTGTACTTTGCCATCCTTCCCAGCTGTCACAAGAATTTTCCCCGTTTGACTGAGATCAACAGAGGTGACGGAGTCGTTGTGCCCTTGTATCACGCTGTGTAAAGTTGCCGCCTCCAAGTCATAGAATCGGATGCAATGGTCACTGGAGCCTGAGACAACCCATTTTTTGTCGGGTGAGACAGCGAGAGACGTAACGCCTCCCTGGATGATTGCCTCGGTCATCAGGAGGGGCAATATGTATGAAGGGTACATACAAACCTTGTCCCCAGTAAGTCTCGTCGTGCATTGAATAAGTGGTTCTCCTCCCGCCATTTTTCTGTGATTTGCCAGAGCCTTTTCAGTATCAAGCAATGGACTGACGTCCAAGTACTTCAGCGATGCATCTTCACTTGCAATCACCAACGCTTTCCCGGCGAGTTGGACAAACGCAAGACTCTTCACTACATGATTATCCCCCATAATCGTCTCCATCAACCTTGCGCTTTTTTTTTGGATTTTCCATATTTCTATAGATCCGTTTCTGCGCCCCAGAGCTACCAAAGCCTGCGGTAAAAAAGCGATCGAGAGAGTAGACCCAGATGTTGAATGGATATTTTGGCATGCTCCATTCTCCAAGGTCCAAATTCGCGCAGTGTTGTTATAACACCCTGCCACAAGCAGTTTCCCATCCGTCGAGAAACATAGTGATGAGGTTTTCATTATGTTTTCACCAAAGGTGTAAATGACTTTCCCTGTAGCGGTTACTATGACCTATGTAGCTTGATGGTTATTTTCCCTGGTATTGCAAGTGAAGGAGAAGGCGCACATCGAGTTTCTCTTTTTGGCCCCCAACTGCCAACATACTACCGTCTGGGCTAAAACATACTACTTTAACGACATGATCCGTGGTTATTATCCTGTATGTAAAGTTTATCAGAAGATGAAACTACCATGAACGTCTTGTAACAAACCACGTCTCCACACCAGTTAAAGCATCGTACATGTGAACCGTTCTACCACAAACCGATGCAAGGGATTTCATATCAGAAGAAATTCGAACACACTGCACCGGGCTATCACAAGCGATGAAACACAAATCGTCAACGGTAAGAGACACCTTCAAAAATGTTGGGATGGATCACCTTTCGTAGTTGAATGTTCTAACCAAGGTTATGTCAAGTACGTGCTTGACATTGGGGTTGAGTGCTATAGACCAGTCTGTACCCCCACGATTCCATTCAGGAGTGAAATTCGTGATGTTTAGATTTTCTGGCGACTCTGACGTGGTTGGCAATGGACTGGAGTCGTTGACGAGGGGATCCACAGGCCTTGCATCACCTAGCTCGCTGTCAGTATTGCTTTCTTCTGTCGGATGTAGCCCGCGATTGAGCTGAGCTCTCAAACTGTTGGCTTCGTCTTCAAGTTCATGGCATCTAGCGTTGCTCTCTTCGAGAGCCTGGCGAAGCGTACGCAATTCATCTCCTTGTGAGGTAACTAAGACATGCAATTAGGAAGGGAAATTGTCTCGCACGATGATATTAGGATCCCAGCGCACCTTTTCTCTCCAGCTCGTCTCTAACCTCAGAGGCGATACTGACTTTCAAAGCCAGGGCGTCTAATTCTTGCCTGATTATCCCGAACGATCGGTCGGTACCTTCGTCACTGGCCTGGGAACGAGGAAGCGACGTTCCAATTGCCTGCAGTCTCAACAACCGTACATGGTCCTTGGACATGATGAAGTGTGGTATAAAGGAGAATGAATGTCACCGGGATCGAAGTGGTGATCATGATGTCATGATGTCACGCACGTGACATCACAAACCTACCACAAACACTGGTGCAATTTGCCAAAGCTGCAGCTCTCGTCTTGGAGAAGATGCCTGTTCATCGGCAATATGGGACTCTCCCAGAAGAGAAGCACCGTAATCTTTCTACGGTATCTGTGAACAATGCATGGCTTATTCAGCGCCTTTCCTGACCATGGTATAGAACGGGTAATATCTTATGGATAAACTTGAAGAGCTGAAGCAAGCCCAAGTTGATCGGCTCCACGAATGGGAGCGATCTGCAAGGTATTGAGCCGCTCCCAGTCATTACGAAGCCTGAGGTGGGAGGAGCAAGGGGGAAAGATTTGGCGTGTCGTCGATGAGAAGAGATTTGGAGGGAAATTTTCTTATGACGGGCTTCGGACTTGCAATTAGTAAATCATGCTCCTACCCCACACTTGCCTTGAATGGCAAATAGTCTAGCATTGCAGCGGTGGACCACCACATCAAAGTCAGAGTTTAGAGAACATCGTATACATAATTCCCAAGTATTCTGCTGGTTAAATACATAAGTCATATGTTAATCATCTGGCGGTATGATGTCGCCGGCTCCTTGTTAAAAATAAGCATCGTAACGATAGATTTTTGTGTCTTTCCTGGGCATCGGTTCCGGAAGCTGTACGGCGACTCACCATCGTCCGTATACCAATCAAACAAGAATAGAATTCTGCTTGTCAATGAGTGAGTTGGACTAGAGACAGTGCGGGAAATCTTACCCGCTGTTGGTGTTTAATGAGCCATGGTGACGCTGCGCAGCACAGCTAGAGACGCAAGTTCAACTTGGTAGTAGAAGAAAAACCTAAGGAAGCCTTCAATTTTCAAGCAAAGAACCCGAAGCGGCCCACATGTGTGCCAAATGTGCGCCTCTTTGTGAAATGTGAACCGCTCACTTGGGGTCCATGGCTTTTGAGCGGTTTTGGTAGGGACTAGCATGGTAACGACCGGTAAAAAAACCACGGTTTTACCAAATATGGTACGGTACGGTACGGTTACTGCGGTTACCGGTACAACCGAGCCTTTTATGCCGTTCTGACTTCACAGCTCAAATATCATAATGTCACTCTGTAATTTATACTTTTTTTCTGTTCTGGAGGAACAATATACTCTTAATTGTCATTTAGACATATTTTACTCTTATTTTCATTATTGTAATTAGGCCTAGGCCCCAAACTTCGTGCAAACCTGGCTGATCCCTCAAGCCAAAAACTCAAATCCCATGAAACAGAGCCTGATTTCAATGTACAGCAGGTAGAAAAATGCCAATAAATTTGGTTTTATTCTCTGCAGTACTGTGCCATTTCGATCAATTCGTCAGTAACGCGTAACGGCACCTCCAAAATTGCCGAAATGTAACGGAGGTAACAGTCGTTTGAGCCAAGTGCCGAATGCGTTAAAAAAATGTAAAAAAAGCTTTGAAAATCACCAAAAAATCGTAAAAAAAATTCTCTAGTCTCTACTAATTGTGTAGCGCTTTGAAAGAAAAAAATTGTAAACCCTGCGATTTGTAACAGATTACATATAACATTCTCCTAGCTGCTGAAAAAAAATCTATGTAACGGTCATCTCCCCCACCTGCTGAAATCAAAATTTCGGCAGGCATGTAACGCGTAACATGGCCTGCCGAATTGATCGAAATGGCACAGTATTTGGAGTCAATATAACCTTGAATTTTTTTCAAATATCATGCAAGCATAGGTGAAATGATGAAATGCATCTTGATCATTAATAAATTTGTATACAGTTATTTATTTTAACTAGTCACGCTTTGTAACCCTATTAAACTCATTTAGCGGCTTGGCAGTTCCGGAAAACCGTGGAATTTATTGAGTTTAAACAAAGTGTTTACTCAAGTCCAATGTAAGCCGACCAAGGCTCAACTGCACGCGCACACCCACAGTCCTCGTGTCCACTGACATGAGACTTAGAGCCGCTGCTCAAACCGACAGTCCACTCACCTGATCCACGCTTGGATACACTGAGCCCACTAGGACTAATCTATTTTAGAATCATCCCCCCTTGGTTGAGGACTGAGATCATGAGACTCCCCTTTCCTTAAGGCTCTCGTCTTGACATCTCGTTCCTCAACCAGGTATGATTCCTACTTGATTCATTGAAGGCTCTCGTCTTGACATCTCGTTCCTCAACCAGTCATACAATATATTTCATCGTCATTATAACAATACTACGTATTCATCGTCCCTCAACTTTCTCTTATGAGTGAAGGTGCAGACCATGCAAGACTTTTTGCATCTACCGTCCCAGGCAATGGATCAGCCAGCACTCTGGGATCGCATGGAAGTCAACTGGCTCTCCAAGGACCAGTGAACATTGTTAGCGAGGTTGGGGCTGAACGAAGCCATGAACCCCCCACTGCTGGAGAGAATAGGGATGAACGAACCCCTATTGCTCCAGAGGCTAGACATGGCCGGAACACCAGGCGTGGGGCACCAGGGAATGAATCCCCTCGGGCTCAGAGCGAACCTTCCAATCCAGGCGATTCGGGTGGGGATAAACAACCTAGCCCCGAGGATCAATGTATCGAATACATGGATGATGTTGTTGAGAACTTCAGGCAAAACAAAGTCACGAAGCTCAAAGCACTCTCCCAAATCATCTCAATCCTCGACTTCAACCCTGCTAGAACCGAGGAGGCCAAGGACGCCTCTGTTGAGTACTATTCAAAAACACTCAATGAAGTCGAAGCCCTTGCTTCTTCAGTGACTAGGCGAGGAGAACATGCTGCTATCGGATTACAATCCAACCCTATTGTCCTACCTGACCCTGCAGGGGACCCTGACTGAGACAATGCGATTGACGAACTCATCTCCCAGATCAGCTGTGAATCAAACAAACCTAAGCGAGATCTCTCACCAGGACACACTGATCCAGATGGTGACAACGACGAGCCTTCCAACAAGAAGCATAGAGTTTTCGAGTCAGAAATGCCCTGGTTCGAACATGAAGAGGATGCTAGACAAACCGGAAACAAGGATTGCGAGGAATCCCGCCGACTCCTCACACTCTTCGCTCGTGATTACAAAGTCATCAAACAATGGATCCAAAACTCACAAACAGCACCACTTGGTTTCCCCAGCTCTGAGTGGGATAACATCATCAAGGGACAAGCTGTCAACCTTGACACAGTGTTCTCATCACTGCACCATATTTCCGCTCCTAAAGAGAACACTGGATGCGTGGGAACAACTGAAATCTCCCTTGGTCGAACAGAGCCTTCCAAGAGGGTCCAAACGAGTGGCGAATGGACAAGCGCCTGGAATGCCACCATCAAAGCGACCAAATTTGCTTTCCCCCACTGGGAAAATGAACTCAGAGAATATGGGGAATACATCAAAGGTCACTTCTCTGCTAAAATCTCCTCCTCTCACCGCAGGATCATCCTCTATGATATCGCAATCCGCATTGAGGTCGGGGGTGGGCAGAGCACCCTACTCACTGACACCCACTGTTTCTCCCAGCTCTACTCTGCCATTGTCATGCCTGATGGGGTCGAATCCGATTACCCCAGAACATCTACAAAGTGGGCTGCCATTAAAACAAACAAAACTGAGATATGCAACTGTTTCAACTCCATCAACGGATGCAGAAACTCAGCCGACGACTGTCGCTTCAAACACACTTGCAAGAAATGTAAATGCCTTGGCCACGGAAAGGAACAATGCGATAGCAAGGAGGGAGCTAGCGCATGAGCTTTGTCCCAAATATCTCAGATACAACATTTGGGAAGGGGGCTCCCACTTCTCACACTCTTCCGCTGACTGGACCGAAACCGCCTCGCCATTACCACCTATTCCTGCTTCAGAACTAGCCAACCCGATAGTCACCAAAACCATAAAAGAAAACCCTCACCTCTTCAATATTGTCACCCCAATTTTCATTGACTGGTTCGAAGGACTACTTGAATCCCATCCAAACCAAGCCTTCGTCAAATCTGTATGCCGAGGCCTCAGAGAGGGTTTCTGGCCTTGGGCTGATACCCACTTTGGGGAATACCCTGACATGCTTGATCTTTCCTTACCCGAGCCAACCGACGAACGCGAAGCACAATTCTTAAGGGATCAACGGGACCATGAAGTCTTCAAGGGATGTTTCTCCCAACCATTTGGAACTGAACTTCTGCCAGGGATGTACTGCATGCCCATCTTTGCTGTACCAAAGACACAGAATTCCCCCGACTTACGAATGGTAACCGACCAAAGTGCAGGAAAGTTCTCACTCAACAGCATGATCCCTCGCGAGGACATCATTGGCTATCCCCTCGACAACTTGCAACACATAGGCGAATTCCTCCTATCCATGCACGAACAAATGCCTGACTCACCCTGTATCTTATTCAAATCAGACGTCACCGAAGCATATCGCCTCCTCCCCGTCCACCCATACTGGCAGATAAAACAGGTCAATCGCGTAGGCGATGACTTACATGTCGACAGAAATAACGCCTTTGGTGGCCGCGGATCTGGTTGCAATTGGATCGCCTTTATGGCGCTAGTGTCCTGGATTGCCAAAAAGAAATGGAACATCGAACTCCTGGGTACGTACTCAGATGATTCGTTTGGTCCAGACGATGCAAACAACTTAGCCTTCTATCCACCCTATCGCAAATTCATGCCGTCAAACCAAGTCAAGCTCCTACAGCTTTGGGACGAAATTAATCTACCCCACAAAGAGAGTAAGCAACTCTTTGGACCATCCCTGACCATCATAGGAATTGAGGTTGATGCCAATTCCCTATCCATGACCATGCCACCCAATGCCCTCGCTGAGCTCATTACCGCGATTCGTGACTTCATTGCAACCAAGCGCAAATTCACGCTCCGTGAATGGCAAAGACTAGCTGGATGGATTAACTGGAGTCTAAATGTCTTCCCCTTCCTCAGACCGGTGCTCAACAACTTTTACGCCAAGATCAGTGGCAAATCTGCCCCCAACAAATACATCCGAATTAACAATGCTGTCCGTGCTGACCTGGAATGGGCAGTCAGCCACCTTGAACGCGATGATGGGATAAGGTTACTCCACCAAATCCAATGGGACCCCTCTGCTGCTGATGTCACCCTTTACTGTGATGCGTGTCTTCAAGGCATGGGTTTTTGGTGGCCTGACAAATGCGTCGGTTACTACTCACCTGTGCCAGAGTCCACCACCGAAGAGCACATTTTCTATTATGAAGCCTTATGCATTCTCTCAGCCATCCACCATGCCACAGACTTCTTAGGTGTGCCCCCAACTATGAAGATCCTCATCTACACTGACAACGACAACACTGTTGCGATCTTCAACACACTACGATGCCTCCCCCACTACAACCCTATCTTAATTGATGCAGCTGACATCTGCATAACCACCAACATACACCTTCGGGTTGTCCACATCCCGGGAGAATTGAACTGCATAGCTGATGCAATTTCACGGAACAACTTCCCACTCGCCCGTCACTATGCCCCGAACATCATCATCGCACCTTTCTTACCCCCTCAATTGCCGCTGGGGGCATCCAAAAAATGATCACATCCCCCATACGTGCCAGGCAACCGCTTAGGCAAGCCTGGACACGTGAGCGGCTTCTCCGGGAATGAGCAATCGCCCTCGGTCAGGCCATTGACAACTCAACATGGAAGAACTATGGTTCCGCTCTTAACTCCTATCTCAACTTCATCAAACTACATGATTTCCCGCTGGACCCCACCCCCGACACCCTTAGCTTATTCACAGTCTACATGTGCCACCACATCAAACCCAACTCCGTTGCTACTTACCTATCTGGAATCTGCCAACAACTCAAACCATACTTCCCCCAAATCCATTCCGCTCGCAACTCTGCCCTGGTACACCGTACATTGCAGGGTTGCAGGTGCTTATTAGCTACCCCAACCTCTCACAAACGCGCCCTAACATTAGGCGACCTAGAGACAGTTGTCAATGCCTTAACAGATTCCTCTGATTACGACGACCAACTCTTCCTGGCACAACTGCTAACAGGCTTCTTCACACTCTTCTGCCTCGGGGAAATGATGTATCCAGATGACCCTGAACTCCGTGACCCCCGAAAAGTCACCAAACGCAATTCCATCCACATCTCCGACGATTCCTTTCAACTGTTCCTGCCTGGCCATAAGGCTGACAGGTTCTTTGAGGGAAACATTGTCATAATACGAAAGAATCCCCACATATTTGACCCTCACAAACGCTTCCTCGCTTACCTCCGAGCATGCGACAAAAAGTTCCCTCTCAGCCCCCCCCTATGGTTGACCAGCAAAGGCACCATCCCCACGAGGTCCTTCTTCATCAAATGCTTACGACGATTCTTCAGCTCAGACACTGCCGGTCAATCCCTCAGAGCCGGCGGCGCAACGTCCCTTGCTGAAAACGGCGTCCCACCCTCAATCATACAAGCCATTGGTAGATGGGCTTCAGACGCCTTCAAGATTTACATCCGAAAAAACCCTGTCCTCATTCAGGTGTTACTATTCGGCCAAACTGCACACTCTGCATCCTCATACATCCACACCTTGGATTCCTGAATAACTTACAGACTTTCTTCATATTTACTTACAGACTTTTCTCCCTCCATACAGACTTTTCTCCTCCACAATGACTTTATAATCCACCACTACCTACGACATGGACGTCTCCCCACTACGCATGTACCCTCCTTTTTGCCCTCGCTCCTCACATCACTCACTCCACGACCTCATCACAACCCTAACTACCTTTTTCTTTATTTTTTTTCTTATATAGGACTATAGCCATACCTCAAGTGCAAATACGTCGGAATCGGGTGCATGCCGCGCCCGATCCCTGACTTTGGCTATCCCATGCCCATATTGCCACTGCAACCACACAAAGCCTAGGCGTCATTGGTCGAGTTTAAACAAAGTGTTTACTCAAGTTCAATGTAAGCCGACCAAGGCTCAACTGCACACGCACACGCACAGTCCTCGTGTCCGCTGACATGAGACTTAGAGCCGCTGCTCAAACCGACAGTCCACTCACCTGATCCATGCTTGGATACACTGAGCCCACTAGGACTAATCTATTTTAGGATCATCCCCCCTTGGTTGAGGATTGAGATCATGAGACTCCCCTTTCCTTAAGGCTCTCGTCTTGACATCTCGTTCCTCAACCAGGTATGATTCCTACTTGATTCATTGAAGGCTCTCGTCTTGACTTCTCATTCCATTTATTTAGTCATACGATATATTTCATCGTCACCCTCCCACCCACTTCCTTTTAGTATACTGTACTACGCATCATTTACATGTATTCCCACGTTCGGGGACCAAAATCCGGTCCATTCGGACTCCGAATGGACCGGATTTTGGTCCCCAAAGGTGAGAAAGTGATGTCATAGCCATACCTCGAGTGCAAATACGTCGGAATCGGGTGCGCGCCGTGCCCGATCCCTGACTTTGGCTATCCCATGCCCATATCGCCTCTGCAACCACACAAAGCCTAGGCGTCATTGGTGGAAATTCCACGGTTTCGTACCGAATGTTACCGGTAACTAAAGTACGGAAATTTCCGCGATATTACCTAAACCATGCTAGTCCTTAGGTTTTGGTGACCAGAGTCCAGTAAGTGAAATTAAAGCATGCCCAGCTAAACTTGCTGCCATCGGATGTCCCAAAGGACGTGTTCCGACTGAAGTGCGGAATACTTTCTTGTCAAGTTTCAACGGTGAGCTGCGTGACATCACCATGTGTACATGTTGATAGTTGTTGAATGTCAAGGCTCCATTGCCTCATCCATCACGTCCAACCTTGTTCCCGCCACTTTCGTTCGACTTGAGCACCGAAAAGTGATACCCAACACATATGGGATCCTGGAGACGTCAAATCCAATCACTCTGAATTGTCATTTCATCGCAAGTTTTGTCTGGGAGGCCCGATGGCAGGAGCATGAGAGAGGTCACAGAGGAGTCAGTGGCAGAGGCTTAGGGAGAGGGACCGGAGTTTAAGAGGAACTGAGAGGTTCATTTGATTACACTTCTTCGCTGCACCTGCTCTCAATAAGAGTATGTACCAGAAGCGAAAACGAAAATCCGGCGTACACAACATAACGTCAGATGCCAGTCCGTTATCTCGCCGGAGCGCCGGCTGCATTCTGTAATTAAATGAGTTCTTTAATAGGCAAACAATTACAAGCAATACAATATTTCTTGTTTCAGGCCTAAAACAATGGGGGAAGAAGCTTGAATGTCCAAAAAGTTGAGGGACGTAAACACAAGATATGTTAGCTTCCCTTGACATTATTTTTATGAGCGGCCGTTGTATGTAGCCAAGGTAAGGCATACTTACAAGATTTCTGGGGCTCATAACGCATGACTTAACCAAGTGACACATAGAAATCCGCACCATCCCAAGGCTGCCCTGCCCTCTGAGTCTCCCATTCAAGTACCTTTGCATTTTTCAGTGTTGCATAAATATTATATGTATTCATAAGAATACAGCGGGTTAAATCTACATTTCGGGTATGCTATTACTAAGTGCATTAATCTACTTTGCCCTCATCGCTCTTGCCTGGTCGGAATGTGGCTCATCTGCTGGGCATGGTGTCCCTCACGCCGTCGCTGGGCTCGTCTCGTGTTTACAAGACGTTGGGAGCCGATCCCTGGCTGATCCTGCCGCTTTGGGGCTTACTGTGTTGGCAGTGGGCTGGTCCTGTCGATGAGTCACTCATCACCATGGTGGCAGCATTGGCAACGAGTTGATACTGCCGCCGCTGCGCCTACCGTTGTGCGCATCATTATCCGCGTCATGGTACCACCGTCGTGGAGTTCATTACCCTGTCGCTGTGCTGGTCCTGCTGTCATGGGCGGTTGTGATTTCGCCACATATGCGTTGGGCTGGTCGTGTCATCGTGTGGTTCGCTACGTAGGCATTGGGCTGGTCCTGCCGTCCTGTGGTTCACCAAGTCAGCAGCGGCATCGCGGGGTCCCCTACCTCGTTGTTGTCCTGACTTGCCATGCGGGAGCTGGATTAACTTTGGTGTCAGGTTCAGATTGCGGCCATTGGGCTCACCTGTTCCTCATGGGCGTATCACATCCCCTGCGAAATCCTGCGCCACTTGGTTTCTGCCACCGCCTCATTCTCAAATCCATAGTCGGTGTTGCTGGCTTGCATCTGGAGGCGTGACCATCGAGATCAGGCCACATATTTCAATGAGGGGAGGGGCAGGAAGAAAGCGTGGGGTGATCAGGTACGCGCATGGGCAATGGTGGGGGTAAAGAGAGCTGTGACGGTGGTTGACATTGCATGTGTGACAGAAGGATCCAGTAAATACAGATAAATACAGTAAGCATAATAATCTTAAATTTAATAATGGCCGGAATCGGAAACGAAAATCCGGAGTAATATTTCGTTATCTCTTGCAGGAAGATATTTTCGTTTTCGCTTCTGGTCTATACCGTCTCAATAATGGGTTTTCAGTAAAGTGGGGTCTGGTCAACGACCAACGTCTTCAATACGGACCTCGCCAAAAAGCACATCTCTCTTCAACCCCCCAACGTTCAACACCTTTGGGAGTACGGTTGGCACATCGTTACAAACAAATTGTTCATGTTAATCCCGGCTTGTCCGGCATGGCTAAAGCCCGACCCACCTTTCTGCCTTGTGAGGCATTCTTGACTTGCCGTTTCTGCGATCCCAACTTTCAGGCTGTCACTTCATCGATGGAGACCCAATCTCACTGCTACTCCATCCCCCTCCATGACTCTTTTTTAAGCAACCCTGCCCAACCTCCGAGGCGTCAATACGTCTTTCAACAACCCCGAAACAGTTGTTTCAGTCTTACCTGGGAAGCTCTCGCGTGTTTAACAAGAGCACGGACGCGAAAAGAACAAGGCAACAATGGCCAATATGGATTACAAATGCAAATATACAGGGATCCCGTCGCCTAGGGCTTACTTCTCCTCACTCTCCGGGTTATCGTTGCCTTCACTCGGGTTGTTAGCAACCCATTCAACCGCTTCCTTAATCACCGTACTCAGGAAATCCTCGAAATCATCCTCGAAATCGCCCTCAGTTCTCACATCTGACTTCTTCTTACTCTTCGCACCCTTCTTACTCTCCGTGTCCCTCTTGTCCTTCAGGTGCTTGATGTAAATGGCTGCGTAGTACAAACGTCAACGGACTGTCATGAATGATTGAAATATGGCTTGCCTTTGAGCTGCCTCAAGACCTTTTTATTATACCGGATGAACTCTTTTCTGGCGCTCTCATAGTCCTCATTGTCAATGTAGCCCTTGATGGCAATTGCAATCTGTCCTTTTTTACGCTCCTCGGAGTCAGTGTCGTCTGTTGGAACATGAATACCGGCAGTATTCAAGGCCTGATTGATCGTCATATCGTCCGGTGTACGGCCTGGATACATTAGCATCGTGAAGGCCTTGTCCGTTGCAGATAGTTTCTCGTTTCGCTGAATATCCGCCGATTTTATGGGGTATCTTGAGAGCAATCACACGTCAGAAAATTGGGCGATGTTGGAGGAAAAGAAGCACTTGCATCATGATCGAGTCCTTGTCCAACAGAAGACTTGCGGCTGCAAGTGTCCTTGGGTCGACCAGATTGAAGCGGTTCTCCGTCCAGGACTTACTATGTGGCTTATCGCAAAAGTGGATTCCGGAAGATTCCCTACCGGGGCGCTGGTGCTCGTGCTGGAAACCTAAAGCATGTCCGAATTCGTGAAGGAAGGTAGTCTGGGTGCAGCCGTAAAGCCCAAAAGTCATCTTCGTTGCTTTGCCGGACTGTAGTTTGCCTACGTTGCTCTTCGCACCGCCTTCATCTTTACAGGTGATTAGGATGTCGGAGTTGCTGGGGTATCTCGTTTCGCTGAATTCTAAATAAGTGTATTTCCTCCATTCGTCCCTCGCAAACTCGAAATGTTTTTGATATCCCTCTGACAATGCGGTAACAAAATGGTACTTCAGCACAGGCTAAGAAATTGAATTCAGCAACTCGACACAGCTCTCACTGCGAAACAAATTACCGGGGATGTGGGATCCTTGGAAAGACCACTCGGTTTCAACGCGACAGGCCATACATTCTGGCTAATGAGCGCTATGTTGAGAGGGTTCGCCATGACAGGGTTCGTGAACTCGAAGGTAAAACTGGAATCAAATCAGAAGTGGTAGTAGGGGGTCAATATTTGGCGACGAGTCCTTGCAGACTTGGTGCTCGTATATATATCGTGGGGGGAGGTATTCTGAACGGCCCGAGCTTTCTGGTCTGTTTCATTCCCCTAGAATTTCTCTCTCCGTAATGCTAGCCCCTCGTTGTCTCCACGTATCTCGGCAGGATAGATCTCACCCAGATCTTACATGCCTGTGGCTGAGATTTAAGTAGTGGGGCTGAAGAACGCCCGTGATGTGCCATGAGGACTCGATCTATCGTCTGCACATCAGCTGTTGTGATCGCAGCGCAAGTCGGATTTATGTGGGTGCAGGGCACCGTTAATAGGACCTTAATGTCTTTGAGAGGAGCCGGGCAAATGGACTTGCAATTAATAAATCATGCTCCTATCCCATACTTGCCTTGAATCACAATAAATCTAGCATCACATTGGTAGATCGCCACATCGTCGGAATCTAGAAAACATCATATACATATTTCCGAAGTATCCTGCTTGTTAAATACATAAGGGATATACATATCTGCAGTCCGTTTCTAGCTGTATGATTGACGAGAGACAATGCGAGGGTATTTGAGGTCCGCATGTGGTTGAATTAATATTGATATGAAACTTCAAAGATCCAAAGTATAGCAATCTAAAGTAACCGCAGATTCGTCAGTCAGAAAATTTTAGGCAAGCGACACGCTAAGTACTCACCAACTTCGGACCAGAAGCGCATACGCGCGTCGCGTGGATTATTTAACAAGGAATCGCACTGGCAGGGCAGAAAGCGTCGTTGACATTGTAGGTCAACGTGCCGTCAGCCTAGTCAAGGCCATCAATACACATGCAGTGGTACGAATACGGCGAATCGTTGCGTACCACTTTATAATCGCAATAATAAGCCATTCCGTCCTTCAAGAATTGGCAGTGGAGTGGGTCGCTTCCAGCCTGTTGTTGGAACTTGAACTGTCCTTGATCGGACGGGCATCTCCAGCAGGCTTGAGCCGCCGCCGCTTGGGCTTTAGGCGCTGCTTGGCCTTGAGGCACCACTTGGGCGGATGCGAGCAGGGCGCTCGTGAGGACGGCGACGATGGCGATGAAGGAACACATTTTCGAGGGAAGTTATGGAAGTAGTGGGTTTGTTTTTGGGGAAGATTGTGGGGTTTGTTTGATGATTTTGAACAGGAGAAATGAGGCGCTTTTATATAAAATCATTTATGCATCGCAAACTTGAGTCGGAATTTTCGGGAGCAACTGTTCATGCCAAAAGGTTTTTCGGAATGGCCATCGTACAGGGTCAAACCCGCAGCCACACATTGTAACAGGAAATTCGCCCAGGTTGGTGCTTGACGCTTCTCGCGACACGAATTACTGCGCGTCAAGAATTTTGATCCTTGCCAACGTAAACTGCGATATGCCACAAGTCTCAAATCTTCTTCAAGAAAAAAGAGATGGTTGGCGGCTTAAGTCGCAGTGTCAATAAATCTCAGATTTCGTACCATTAAATGATCACCCATTCCTCGGGTCACGACTCCTTTTCCAGAGGTTCTGCAGTTTTCCCATGCGTGATCTGGCGTAGCCGAAGAACAGTGAACTGCGCAGCTGCTCCACACACCGCGTGCTTTTTTTTTGGGCCCGATGTTCAGTGGGTGCGAGCCTGAGCAGTAGCACGCAGCAGATGCGCGCGTTTCACGGTCCCAATTCTTGAAGGAGACCGACTTCTCTGTGTTCAATGAGAGATCCGAGCTGCACCATCATCCACCAATGAATTTTATGGCTCATTGAATCATGTATCGCTTACCCCAAACGATCATTTGCCTTAAGGGAGCTCTTAGGTGGAGCTCTTCAGTTGTCCATGCCACGTTCCTGGACTCATTGCAAAGTCCCGAGATGTTGCTTGCTTCCTTCAAATTCGGAGGCCCTTTTTCAAAATCGGAGGTTCTTAATCGTCTGGCGGTGTGATGTCGCCGGCTCGTTGTTAAAAATAAGCCTCGTAACGACAGATTTTTGTGTCTTTCCCGGAAGCTGTCCAGCGACTCACCATCATCCGTATATCAATCAAACAAGAACAGAATTCTGCTTGTCAGTGAGTGAGTTGGATTGGAGACAGCGCGGGAAATCTTACCCCTAGTGTTCAATGAGCCATAGCGACACTGCGCAACACGGCTAGAGACGCAAGTTCCACTTGCTAGTAGAAGAAAGACGTAAGGAAGCCTTCAATTTCCAAGCAAAGAACCCAAAGGGGCCCACATGTGCGCCTCTTTGTGGAATGTGAACCGCTCCCTTGGAGTCCATGGCTTTTGAGCGGTTTTGGTGACCAGAGTCCAGTCGGTGGAATAGCATGCCCAGCTAAACTTGCTGCCATTGGCTGTCCCAAAGGGCGGGTTCCGACTGAAGTGCAAAATACGTGCGTAGATTTCTTGTCGTTAAGTCAACAGTGCCCCTCGTGACATCACCATGTGTACTCGAGTACGTGTTGATAGTTGTTGAATGTCAAGGGCCTCAATCTACGCTACTTAGTAAGATCTTGCACTGCAAACGATACGGTGAGGTTACGTCTATGGATTCCCCTGAATCCTACTAATATCTATCTTACCAAGACTTGTCGATTGACAACCGCATCACACTGGGTGCTGTTGCAAAGAGTGGGGTGCTACTAATGGCTGCTGCAGTGGAAGCTGCTCGTACGTTTCGCATTTTCACACTTTTTTCACCTTTCTTTCGTGTAACCTTCTGATCCTTATCACAAGACGTCGACGCAACATCAATTCCCGTGGATGTAGCACAGGCTTTACAGGATATCAACAACCAGCTCACTGCTGGCTTCAATCAGATGAATCAGCAGCTCGCTGTGGCGCTGGCTATTTCCCGTAACACGCGGGTTCTCGCACATAATCGCCTGCATGATGTTCCTCGTGCCTACCGGCCTCTCTACAAGACGGTGTGTTATTACAGTTCTTAACCTCCCAGTAGTGACCATTTGCCATGTAGATCCCGGGAAACGGCCTCAACCTTGCAAACCACATCTACGCTAATTTTGCAAATGTACAGGACATCCTCATCGCGCCGGCTGAGGAACCTGCAGTAGGAACAGTGCCACCTAACTTCAGCACGAATTTTTCAGCATATACAACAGCTGACTTCGTCCGCCTCATCATTTTCTACAACGAAGACTTTGGGATTGTTGTTGGTGACACGATCGAAAGCTCTATTAATAAGCTTTGTGGATTTTTGACATACTAAACTTGCCCCGCAAAGTACCAGCCCTTTCTGTAGCTATAATTAATTGTTTTCATTGTCTGTTGTGAATGCAGAAAGAGGAGAAGTCACCGTCAAGCGATGAGGATGAAGTTATGGCGGCAACAAAGTATTTATTTATTTCTTCCTCACAAAAAATAGATCTGATCGAATTGGCTGGGTGAATTGTATTCACAGTATACGTTACCGACGTCTGCAACTAATCTCGGGATATCTTTGAGAGAAACTAAATGCATTCCATTTAGTAAATCGTGCTCCTATCCCACACTTGCCTTCAACCACAATAAACCTAGCATCGCAGCGGTAGATCGCCATCATCGGAATCTAGAAAACATTGTATACATATTTTTCAAGTATCTGCTTGTTAAATACATAAGAAAATCTGCATATCTGTAGTCCGTTTCTAGCTTCATAATTAACGACAGAACAAGGCGAGAGTATTTGGGGTCCGTAGGTGGTCGAATCAATGTTGATTATAAACTTCAAAGATCCGAAGTACAACAATCTAAAGTAGCCGTAAATTCGTCAGTCAGAAAAATCTAAGCGACACGGTAAGGACTCACCAACTTCGAACCCAGGGCGCATACGCGCGTCGCGTGGATTATTTAACAAGGAACCGCACTGGCGGGGCAAAAAGGGTCGTTGACGTTATAGATTAAGGTGCCGTCAGCCTATTTAAGACTATCAATCTACAATTCGATGGTACGAATACGATGATCGTCGCGTACCACTTTGTAATCGCAATAATAGGCCATTCCGTCCTTCAAGAATTGGCAGTGGAGTGGGTCGCTTCCGGCCTGCTGTTGGAACTTGTACTGTCCTTGATCGGACGGGCATTTCCAGCAAGCTTGAGGCGCCGCTTGGACGGATGCGAGCAGGACGCTGGTGAGGACGGCGACGATTGCGGTGAAGGAACACATTTTCGAAGTGAGTTATGAAAGTAGTGGTTGTCTTTTGAGGAAGGATGAAGGATTTGTTTGGTAGTTTTGAACTGGAAGAATGAGGCCCTTTTATACAAAATTCTTCATGCATCGCAAACTTGAGTCGGAATTGTCCGAAGTAACTGTTCATGCCAAAAGCTTTTCGGAATGGCTATCGTACAGGGTCAAACCCGCAGCCACCCATTGTAACGCGAAATCCGGCCAGGTTAAGGCTCGATGCTTCTCGCGACACGAATTGCTCTGAATTGCTGCGCGTCAAGAATTTTGATCGTTGCCAACGTAAAACTGCGATAATCGCAAGTCTCAGATATTCTCGAAGGAAAGAGAAAGTTGGCGGCTTACCTCGTTTACGCGGCGAGATTGAGGTACGGACCATTTCATAAACAATTTGAGAACGTTGAGATCTGTAAATAGTACCGTCAGTAAATTTCAGAATTCATAATATTAAATGATCACCCATACCTCTTGGGTCACGCCTCCGTTTTCAGAGATTCCGCAGTTTTCCAATGGGCGATCTGGCGGATCCGAAGAAGAGTGGACTGCGCAGCTGCTCCACACATCGCCTTGTTTTTTTTGGTCCCGGTGTTCAGTGGGTGTGAGCCTGAGCGGTTGCATGCGGATTCACAGTCCTGATTTGACGGATCCGAACTGCAGCATCCACCAGTGAATTTATGTTTCAGTGAATAAAATACAAAATTGCTTACCCCAAACGATCACCTCCAAAAAAAAAGATCTGAAGTTGTGCATGCCGCGTTCACGGACCCGTTACAAAGTCCCGAGATGTTGCTCGACTCCTTCAAATTCGGAGGCTCTTTTTCAAATTCGGAGGTTATCAATCGTCTGGCGGTGTGATGTGGCCGGCTTGTTGTTAAAAAGAAGCCTCGTAAGTAACGACAGATTGTTGCGTCTTTCCTGTGCGTCGGGTTCGGAAGCTGTCCGGCGACTCATCATCGTCTGCGTATCGATGAAACAAAAATAAAATTCTGTTGGTCAATGAGTGAATTGGACTGGAGACAGTGCGAAAATTTTTACCTGCTGTTGGTGTTTAATGACCTATGGCGACGCTGCGCAGCACGGCTAGAGATGGCGGGTTGTGGAAGAGATAGGTAGGAAATCTTCCATTCCTAAGCAAAGAATCCGAAGGAGTCCACATGATGTGCGCCTTTTCGTGAAACGTGAGCCGCTCAGTTAGGGTTCAAGGCAGTGAGACGATTTCGGTTTTGTTGACGTAGGTCCAGTAGATAGAATTGGAGCATGTCCATCTGAACTTGCTGCCATTGGCTGTCCCAGAGTCGACGGGCTCCGACCAGTCACCAAAGTGCGGAACACTGCGCACGTAGATTTCTGCAGTGACATATGAGAAGAAAAACTGATTAGGGAGCGAAGCCTATTCCAAATGGTAGCAGTAGGACATAAAAGAGAAATGTAACCCAGATCTTGGATTAATATATCGCTTTGTCGTCAACATCAACGTTGACGAAGAGATGCTCATGTGACATGACTGTGTGATTAGCCAAAATAGGCCAAAACACTCATCCAGCTTGGCCCCGGCTTGGATCATGCAATGAGTCCTCTGAGCCTTATTCCTGCCACTTGCGTCGATTCGTGCACGAAGATCCATTTTTTGTTGGTTAAACCGTTTCTTATGGCCATTACATCATTTGTCTGGGACTGCGCACGTTCACTCGGAGACGGGAGAAGGGCACTAGGGACTTGGGAAGGATTTCAACTTGAAGGTTCGTGCCATGACATCCCTCGACTTCAAATTCTTCCGTTTTGATACTGGGTTTTCGGTACAGGCTGACAAGGGTTTGGAAACCGACCAGTATTCTCATCCAAAAGGCGCGTGCCTGTTCGACCCCCGGGACGCAACATCTGAACTTGGCATCTCAGTTAGTATCTGATTGGCATACCTGCATGGGGCGCAACATCTTCTCTGTACCCACAAACAAACCGCTGACATGGCACCGCTACCCAACTCAACTCCAGCCGTCGTTTCATATGGCAGCTGCCGTAGGCACTCCGAGTCCATATCACTTCCAGCGCCACGTACTTTTAATACCGACTACCTGTTCGCATGCCCTTCCTAATCCTTGTCCTTTCCAGTCGCTTCGCTGTCAGCCCAATCCCGTACAATTCACCACAATGTCACTTCAAGCATCCCACGTCTTCTAGCACGATTCATAGTTTGATCAACACTTGAAGGAGGACCGCGGCGCTCGCTGTGGCTCATAACCAACCCCAAGGATTCCCTTCTGTGGGGGGTCTGTGTTTGACGACTCGCATCGAGACCGATGTTGGTCGTACTTATCCTCTGGGCCCATACTCTTCTCATGTCATTTGCTTCCAGTAACTTTAAGTGCGATCCCTCTGACTCCTGAGACGGTGAGGAATTTTCTAACTCAAGAACGGCAGCCTCCTCATCCCTTTCGCCCGACACGAGGTCTAAGATGCTCGCGGCTGCACCATGCGGCTTTTATGCTGAGGTGCTCACTGCCCGCTGAATTCACGCTTGATTTGGGGTACGTTTTGACTTGCCCTCCCCATGCAATGATGCAACATTCACCGTTTTCAAGTTCCATATGACTCTGTTGGGCAATCAGGTAAGCGAGGTACTGGTTCCGGTACAAGTTGAACCTTTTTCTGACCCTGCTTCCACGAAGGTGACCGTGACAAGGCTGGAAACGCGCACTTCGAGGAGACGGCGAAGTGGGTAAAGGGGTGAGAAGATGTGTAGTGCGTTGTTCGAGAGTCGAACCGGGAGTAGGAGAGTTCCTTGTACTCACAAACCGACTCCAAATCGTCTTGGTTCAACGAGCTCTGGAAAATCTTCGTGCTGCCCCAACTCCGAGGTGAGTTTACTTTGATCACATACACGATGCTGATGCTACCCCTGTAGGTCTTTGTATGTCCGTTGACAGATCATTAGTACGTGTCACTCGATGTGGATGTGGCATGTGATCTTCAGTGCTTCGTTCCCCCCCTGGGTCGTTTCATTACCTGGTAAGTATGAATCCCATGCTTACCGGGCCTTCTTTCTAACGGTGTCTCCCAAGCTCAATGCGTGTTTCGACTTCCAATAATCACGCAGTTACAGCGGCCACTGTAGCAGAGGATTCGTCGTTGTAATTCCTTTAAACCATGGATCGGCTTCAGGACGGGTATAAAACGCACCGAAGCAAGCCCATCCCTTCAGTTCCCCCAGGACTACGACGATTAATATGCGTTTCACATTCGGTCTTGTAGCTGCCATCGTCGGTTTTGCTGTTGGCGCTGCTGCGGCTCCCTTGACGGTCAATCAATTGTATCATCGTTTGCCTCGACACTCTAACCCACTATTCAACCTTTCCAGCCGCTCTTAGTACCCAAACTTTGTGGAGATCCAAGATTGGCCGTTTCCCTGCTCAGGGCATACAACCCGATTGGACTCGACCATTTTTACACAACCGACGTTGAGGAGTTCCAGAACGCCATCACTAAGCTCGGTTACATCGACGAAGGGACGACTGGATACCTCTTCCCCTCTCAGGAGCCGCACACTATCGCTTTCTACAGGATGTTCAATTCTGCCGTTGTTGATCGCTTTTATACGACCAGCATCCCGGAGGTGGATTATGCTCTGGAAAGCCTTGGGTATACGTATGAGGGAATTGCTGGATACTTGTATCCTGACACAGCTTGCGGTGCCCTTCCTCTTTATCGCCTCGACAGCGCCAGTGCCAAAGAGCACTTTTATACCATGTCCAATGACGAGGGAAATACCGCCAGTGTTGTGAACGGATATCACTTCGAAGGAATCGCTGGCTACCTCTTCCCTTTCTAGGGAGTTGTTGGGTAGTTGGTCCTTGGTGGGTCGGTTCGTTTGGGTTCTGCTTCTTCGTAGCTGATGCCCGCCACAAGGTTCAACGGAAGCAGTAATGGTTGTAATTACGTCCTGTATGGTGAATTATAAATGTGAAGCTCTTCCTACGAAATTCTTCACCTTAAAGCATTAGGCCGGAGGTCTGAAGTTGGAGATCAAATGTTAGGCCTTTAGGGCTTGTTGACAGTTGTTAAATGTCAAGGTCAATGACGGCGCACATTGCTTCAATGCTTGACACCCAGGAACTCCTCCGAACCTTGTTCCAGGCACTTTCATTCAACCTGAGCGTCGCAAAGTCATACTCAACACATATATAATTTTGGGAAAGCCAGATCATGCCACTCTCGATTGTTATTTCGTCGGGAGTTTTGTCTGGGACACGCGACGGCGACAGACATCATTGTGGCAGGGAGTTAGGGGGCACCGGCAGTTCAAGAGGAACTGAAAGGTTCGTTTGATCGCGTTTCCTTTGCTTCGGCCTTTTTCATAGCATGATTTAGTCAATCACCAGTCCTCTCGTCCTTGCTTTGAAAAAGGCTCAATCTCTGAACGCTGCCTCCCGAGTGGTCGATTGGCGAATCGTCCCAAAGCCCAACTGTCCATTTTACCCAACCATTGACTCTTCCGGCATAGCTAAACTTGCCGTTTTCTCGACCATTCCCCATCACCCATGTCTTCGCTATTCCATGCCCCTTGATTTGACTCCCTTTGAACAACCTCGCCTAGCTCTCGAGGCGTCACAACGACTTCCAACAAACCATAAGCCGCCGTTTCACGCTAGAACTCACAAATACTGGCCCTCACCACCGTTCAACCCAGAGATCCATCATGCCGGGTGTGACAACCCAGCCTCCGTCAAGCATGCCCATCCCTCCTCATTTTGCACGACACGCCCAACATCCCGGGTGGTTCTGCACATCTAGTGTTCCACTCTCGGTCAACCCACCTCGCCTTAACCTGGGCTGATTGATCTGGCTCGATTGGCGGACACTGTCGAGAATGTGGTGATAGATAAACGTTTGGTGGTTCCTAACCGACATTGAGTAGCCACAATCTTCAAGGGAGGGGGGGTCTTTGAGGTCGATCTGCACAAGTCGCTCGTTGGTCCCGCATGCCGAAGTCGCTCGTTAATGGCCCCATGCACTGAAGTTGGTTGCCGTTCACTCACATTAAAGGCCTTGTCAACTCGATTCTTCACCTACAAGGAGATTTAGATCTCAAGAGGCGCGCCCTCGACTCCAACGTTGACCGACCTTCACGAATACAACAACTTCCCCCTGACCTTCTGCAAATCCGCGCGGGATCCCGTTTTTCCTGCGGAATCTTCATCTGCCCCCTTTACACTTACATATCCCAGCTGGGCCTCATAGCAAGCTATTTTCAGGGATCGCTACCTGGCTACTCACGCTGCCAGACCGCCAACTTTCAAATTCTCGCTTAGCCTTTGTTACTTCGCTCCTTATGCGACTTTTGCGGCAGCTCGAACCTATGAATACAAAGGAGGTGCTCAGGTGGTGCTACGGGATGAACTGAGGTGCTGGTCGCCCGATGTGATTGATTACTGTTGATTTGGGGTGCGTTTCTTGCTCCTACCCCCAGCCGTGGTCCAATATCTGACGTTTACATGTTTCATACAAGGGCTCCGGCTTCTGTGTTTGTTTTAGTTTCACGCGCATGAACGGTAGAATCCCAGGTAACATTTCTTTTGTATCAACCACTCTACGGATGAACAACATAATAACAGACTTTGATCGCAAACTTGACACTGTCGCCCAATTTTCCTTCCCATAGAAATTATTCATCTGTGATGGATAGAATGGGGTCTGGAAAGGACGCAGCAATGTCGGCGGATGTGAAGGGTAAAGCGCGTCGACCCTTTATGTATGGGGTTGCCCAATCTTGTTGGAGTTCCACAGTGGCTTCCTCAATTGAAATTTGAAGTGAAAAAACCCTGAACGGTCTTCATCGCGGTTCAGATTTTGGATCCTCTGGATTCCACCCACACACCCTCAAAATATTCACGGGTTTGCCATTTCGGTGGGGATCGATGGCATTAATTGTGCTCTGCGGCCCTGTAATCGATGATCGATGCCCCAGGTACAACAAGTCAAAACAAACATCCTTCTTAACAACGATGTCCGTGCAATCCCCTTTCAGCTCCGCTAGTCTAACGCTTTCAGGGATTCGCTCGTCTACCACATTGATAGCTCACTTCCTTCGAAATACGATCCTACTCCTGTATCTTATTCTTCGGAAGCGACATCTCATGCCACCTCGCCTCAGGCTTCCCATACAAATATCAATCGGATCGGCCGCCTCTGTTCCACTAATGGAGCCCTGCTATTCCCCCGCTTCTCCCAAAAAACTGTCGTCGCGTTAATGCAACCTGCATTAGATCTTCTGAATCGCCCTCAGTGGAAATCTTAGGCGGCTGGTCGGATTTTGAGGTCCTTAATCTAGATCTACGACGGCGCGCAACTTGAATTCTTAGGTGGCGACTCGCGAGGGGCGTCGGTCGACTCGGACAAATGGTAGTGTGTTCAAGACGATACCAAAGTGGCTCCGTCAGCTCGAGCTACCTGGGTCCTGCTTACGGTATCTCTGAGCCAGCCGCGTCCCCAGTTACCTCGCCGCCGACAACAAGCATTCTGTCTAGTCGAATTCGCATGCTTGCGATTAATCCTGTAATGAGCGAGGACTTGAGCCGGCGTGCAGTTTGAAAAAATCACCGCCCTGACGGCTCTCAATTCAATCTGTGCACTTTCCGATTCCGAACTAGAACTCTTGCCCACTTCCTCTATCATTTTCGTATTCTCGGCCTCCAACAATGTATGACGTCACACATGACGACAGTTGTACAAGCGGTACTTTTCTTCCCCTAACCATGCTTATACAGATACTGTATATCGCAGGTTCCTTCATATACAGAACGGTCACCGGTCTACCCCCAACCATGCCTATACAGATACTTTCTTCTAATCCCTAGCTGCAGGTCGGTCCGTCTCCACCGAGTCCAGAGGATCGTCGTCGTCTGAATTTGGCCTTGTTGCAGAGTGGTGAATTAGGGGATTGCACCCCTATCGCCCACGCGTAATCCACGATCTTTGGAGTCTGCGATAACGCTACACTTCTTTGCCTTACCTATCTGTAGGTAATTTGAACAACCTACCACTGCCGCGCCATTCAAGCTAATACTTGATAGCCTGCTTGGTTATCGCGGTTACTCACTAATTATTCAAAACAGTACGTCACTCCAAATTGTTATGTTGGATGCGACCCGTTGACACACCGCGCCGCGTATGTCCGTTAGCGCCACAGAGGGTTTCCACGTAATCTCATACAACGTGCGATATTGAGGGGACGAAATGAGCTTTGGAAGGAGACCAATGGGTATATTTATCCCGAACTTTCGGATAATAAGTTCTACCATCCTTTTTTCGGTGATCTGCTTCAACCTTTCAAGTCAGGAATTCCACTCCAAGACATGTGTGCTCCGCAGAGTTGCGGTTCACTTTTACACCACAGGAGATGCTCACTTCCGATAAATATAAAGGAAAGTTTAAACGTAACATCCCTTTCTTCAGCGTTATGGCTGAAGCCCACCGCTCGCCGCACTTTCACGACATCTGTCGCGCACAGCGCTCTCAAATGACGACGGTCACGAATTCAATTCCCGATGATGTTTGTCGCCAGATCTTTGACTGGGTGGCGGCATGCAACGTGGAAATGGTGCCATCGCTAGTTCTGGTCTCTCGGGGAGCTCAGACTTGGTTTGTCTTCCTTGTTCATCCCAAACGCACCAATTATCAATCATTTTCGTAGGATGACTCCTCTTCTTTACAAGGTTGTTGTGTTACGATCTCATGTATCCGCACAGCAGTTTCTTCACACAATTCGCCATAAACATACCGAATTCTTCCTGAACCACGTAAAATCCCTATGCCTAACATCAAAAATCGGCGGTGGCGACGCTTCCAGGATCCTCCGTGCTTGCGCCAACGTCGTCAACCTAGCTGTTTGGTTACCCGGCTCCCTTCCCATAAGCGCCAGCACCACTGCCCAGCCGCGTACCCTCTCCATCAATATCCTCAGTCCTTCCTCCATCCCAAATCTCAGCCCTGAACCCACTTTCGCCCTTCCCCTCTTCTCCAGAGTCTCGCATCTCGTCATCACCGACCCATTTCAGTGTAGTAAGATCGCAGAGCTGTCTCTCCTCCCGTGTATGACCCATCTCGAACTTAGTCTTGCCCGAGGAACGCCATACGCCGAACCAATACTCCTCCTCATGTCCTCCTGCGACAAAATCAAAGTTTTGGTGCTTTTGGTCGATTTCGTCACTTTTATACAGGGACCGAAACCACTGAGCGGCCATCCCCTGTGTGTGTATTATGAACGGGGATTGAGCAAAGTGGAAATTTGGGAGCCGTTCGTCAGAGGCCAACATAGTAGATGGGAGGAGGCGGAAGATATCGTGCAGGCAAGAAAAGCCCGATGATGCACATCCCTGCTCGGGAGCTCGTCAGCAGAAGTTTCGTGGCTCTGGGGATGCTGTGATCCTTGACTTTATAGTTGGAAAACGAAATGCTGACTGGGGGAGTCAAAAGGATTTCACACTGGCGAGAGTGTGCTGGGCGTTGAGCGCTAGCCATCTTTCGCTGTCTTCCCTGAACTGTTGCATACTTTCCGACGAATTCAAGTTTCATTGAGTGCCGATCCTCTCACCATCCCCTTCAGAAGATGTTCCAGTGAAGTCATCGAAGTTGAGGCTGGCCAGACGTCCTGTCATCTCGGCTCCCCACCCACGATACGTTCCGCATGTCCGTGGCGCGGAAATTGATAGGAGGTGAAATACGAGAAAGACCACTATGAGTCTGGATCTGCGCCTGAAAGGGAGGGCGATTCTGATAAGCGCACAGTGTAAACATCAAACTTGGCGTGTTTGACATCGTTGACGTTGCCCAACACGGTCACCTTCGCTCCTCAACGCTGGATAGCAATGAGGTGCGTCCTCTTCACCCCTACGGCTTCTAGTTCTGAATATAATTCATTGAAGCTAATTCACTGAACTACGAATCAGTGCGCTGCAATTTCTCCTCCTCAAGACGGGGCCTGGTTTCTTTCTCACGTGGCAACGGCGTTGGAAGGCGCTCTTAACAAGCATTTCCAACCTGTGGTCATCATCCGAGGAATGCTCGAGATTGGAAGGGAGCAGCAGGTGATTCAGTTTTGAATGTAGTCTGCTCGACCAAAACTCAGGCTTGAAACTTGAAGATTTTAAGCTTGAAGCTGATGGCACATCGATATTGTCACATGTGTGCGCCGCTGGCACTGGGAGTGCAGATTGGCATATTAACATCCAGTAACATTTTCTCCCACCACCTCTAATTCCTCTGCCAACTGACCATCTCTCCTCACGTGTGTCGCAGAGGTTTTTCGCCTGTTCGGAACTCAATTTATTCGGGAAACACATTCCATTTGTCCCAAAATAGTTTGTCATGGCAACTCCCCAAGAACATGTATTGACTGGGCGCAGCGTTGATCAGGTGACAAAAGAAGTTGATATGGTTGACGCTGCAAGATGGGAGGTTTAGTACAGGTAAAGTCGCCTCGCGAATTTGGGTTTCTCATAACTAACATTCTAGCTTGACTCTTAAAATCGGCACTGTAACAGCAAGGTCTTAAAATCTGAGATGAATATTCACTCCAGAACCGACAACGACGAAACTCGCTAAGGCTTTACCGACGATGAGCATAAATCCGGCGGTACCTGAATGCAAATTAAGTGCTTGGCGGGCCGCCGCCATTATCGCCCCCACATTTGAGAAGAGACGCCAACGCAAGCAACGACAGATGTATTCGCCCAGCAAATCAGGGACGGTTAGAAGCGCTGAAGCATTTTGGACAGGAAGAAGCCTTACCAAATAATGTACCTCGATAAAGAGGCATTCCTTGTTGCGAAAGCGTTTTCGCGTGCCTACCTCTCTCCCTCCCAGAATTCCTTTCCTCATCCCAACTCGGCGTCGAGATGTCGCCGGCTACACTTGAATCACCCTCTGACATACAGGGTCTAAGAGATTTTCGTCGGGTTCGTCTCGAAGTTACATCTTGTTGAGAATGGCTGACCCAACGCTTTTCTAGGCCCTTCCAGTGGTGGAATTGGAAGCGAACGCGGCTGGCAAACGTCATTCATTCCCCATCACACTATTATCCGACAGTTCCCTCGCAGCTCGACGTCTGAGCTTAACAGCGGGAAGAAAGCCTTTACGTTCATCGCCTTTAGTTGGGCCCTCAATCTCGCCCCTTGTTATCATTGATGACGCTGACAATGAGGACGAGACTCCGTCAGATACCCAACTCGCCAAACCAGAGGTGATTGTATTACCCCAACTACCCGCGAAAACTGTGGTTTCAAGACCGAAGTCTCCCGATTGCATCGTGCGCGCTCCTAGTCGTCGCGTCTCGATAGCTTGGGATACTTCGGTGCCGAATCCGGGTCAGGAGAGATTGCGCCGTCCGGAGAGACACAAGTTGAAGCGACCGCGAAGCGCTCTGTCCGATCCTACAGATGCCTACAACTTTCCTCGCCCCCAGGATTTCCTAGCACCCATGGCTGACGAAAAATTCTACTATTGCTCAACACTCCCTACCCTCTCCTCACGCCGACCTCACTCTTTTTACATAGATCCAACTGCCATGTGTAGTGACCCGCCCCATTTCCAAGAAACCGTACCGGAATCGCCATCCGGCTTACCTACGGACAACTCGTGGTACCTTGCATCTCCTTACGACGTTACACCTCGCTTTACCAGGTTAGGCCTCGCGAATGTGATTCTCCCAGTTTCCGCGAAAGCGCATAGTCGCGGCAAGCCCTCAGTCGTACCTTTACATCCTTCCCCATCTTCGAACGCCCTGAAACCCCGATCTACGATGCTCAACAAGTTCATTGGAACCACTGGTTCAACTCGCTCCAGTCTTGTCGAGCATCCGTCGAGCAGCACAATATCATCGACCGCCGAGTTAGAATCTGATGGTGGTCCTCCGACACCTAGCCCCATGAGCACGACGGACCTTCCGCCACCCAGCTTCGCGAGCAAGGCAGACGTGTCCTCGCACACATCGAACCACGGTCGACGACGTAAATTTTGTCTTTCGAAGAACTCGTTGGCCCGTTTCAGAGCCTCCGCTTCTCTGGAAAGAGAATCTCCGACAGTTCACATGAAGCCTTTGAAGTTCAACTGAAAGTCAACCCTGATAAGCCGAACGCTCTAGTAAAGGTTGAGGAGTTGGTGGATCAGATTGAACCTCAGTCCGCCCCCAAGCCTGGGCCTGAGACCATATCTAGAGGAGGGACGATCAGGAAGATTTGGACGTCGTTGACTGCTGGCTCTAAGAACCGCCTGTGCGATCTGGGTTCGGGAAAGACGTCTCGCACTGAAGAACACGAAATGTTGGAATCTTAGAGGATTTATGTAAATTTAAATCTGTATTCAAGGATCACAGGAAAAATTGTTTGATTGGAATTTGAGACAGGAAGCAGGTTCTGCGGCCTCTTGCGCGTCCCATTGCAAAATCAACTTTCCAACCCCCTAAATAGATGCAACTACTCGTCATGGGTTAGAAAAACGTGTTGGCGGATGATTTACACACCTAACCTATGGGACTCTCTTCAACATTACCCGGCAAAATATGCTTTCCATTGAGGTTAAGGGCGCTATCATATATTAAGGGGTGTTGACACGGTAGTACAATTCTCGCACAGCTGTCAGACAAAATCCTTGCGGGCTGCGTTTACGAGTCCCTAGCGCTTCCATTATTTGAGCTTAGGGGTTCGAAGATTAGCCAGCTTGAGGTTTCATTCAAATCCTTGTCCATACCATTTGGCATAATACCCAGATACATGTTGCGGTGGGATCCAACTCCGGATGATGGATTGATGAGTACGTATTACAGGTTGAGCGCTACTGTCCGATAGGATCGTCGGTCCTGGGCCTGGCCTTACAGAATTCCCGACGATAACACGCTTCCTCTTATCACATATCTTCTCGTGCCTACCACGTCAACTGGACGCCCAGACTACGCCCAGCCGTTTTCGGCGGATGAGCTGTCAACTTGACAGTGCGTTTGTCGCCCGACGCCAGAAGGAGCAGGGAGTGTTGAAAACTTAGTTCCGTAAGCGCTTGCGAAGTGCCTGACTCGACTCTTCTATTTTTAGGGAGGAGAGATTGGGTTTGAACGTCAGTTTAAGATGATTACAAGTATCAGAACAAGCGTTCCGAGCGCTGCCAGGGGAGTGGTCAATAATGCGGGGATGTCCAGGTTCTAAGATCGAGAAAAAGCGAGGGGAGAGCCTGAGTGAACGGCGTACTAGCATTTATCAAACTTTTCAGCTTGCTTCGACGTTCAACGGCGTTTTCTGTTCGGAAATTTGCTTAAGCTGTCACTGCGAGCCTGAAATCTCCCCAAGTCCTTGAAATTTTGGCTAAACGACGTTCCTGAGTGGAATGAGCAAGGAGAGATACTGCCGCTAAGAAAAACGAGCAGAGGTCAGCTACGAAGCTTGACGAGATGATACCCGGTCGGGTCATCTATGTCGCCGCTGAGTGCTGAACTTTGAACGGTGAATTTACCGCAGTTTACAGAGCCGGGGGACTTGAGTGTTGGAACTTTGATGTGTGGCCCACAAGAGTTCGAACTTCTCAGTAATCGCCCGGTTTGTGGAATTTCGTGAGGGAAAAAAGTGTCCATTATGAGGCAGCCCCATAGAGCCTATTTATAATCGTCACCAGGCTGAAACTGTCAAGAAGAGCCTGGGAGCGACAAGTCGAAGTCGGAGGCCAATTGTCCGCAGTCAGATTGTTTCTCACCACAGAGGAAAACAATTACAATGGAAAGACAGAGGTATATCGCGAATTTAACCAGAACCCAAGGGAGGAATCGTGGAGGAAATTTGAAAATGCCCGCTACGTAGTTAGCGGGTCTTATCCTACTGGTGGTGCACAATCCCTGCTAAGTGTGACGACCAGTGACATGCCATGTGACAGTGTCACATGGCCAATTTCTTGAGACATTGAGCTTGTACTTTCCACAACACCAGTTCAATATATTTTTTGCAATGGGTTTGATGAAATTAAGTGAATGAATCGACTGAGAGGGCTTTCCATGTAAAAATTGTATTTATTGCTCCAAAAATGCGAAATCAGCCTGTTTTCTCTGCCAAATTTGGCACTCTGGAGAGATTGGACTATAACTTTTCAACCACAGCATGTATGAACATGATTTGTAGGAGTGTTTTACTTAGAATTTAAATTCCAATCGATCTACGAGTCCAGAATTTTTATTTGTGGCCCTTATGCCGAGATAACCATTAAGAATGGGTACTTTAACATGGTTTAGGGGTAGCAATTAAAAGTCTGGACTCGTAGAATTGAAGCCACATAGTAATAAATCATTTCGTCTCTGCAAATCTAAGCCTAAATCCTATCTTTTGTGAAGCTGATAGCTCGAGCAGGCAGCCTTAGGTTAATAGGTGCTGCATAGCCACTGAAGTAAAATACATTGTATATTTTTATACATTTGGATAGAGATTATCTATACAATTCCGGTGCGATTTTTTTCATGTAAATCGGTGGAGAAATGATTGAGCTACGTTGTTTACACATTTGAGCCGTCTGGAAAAGCATCACCTGTCCGCCAAATTGGGAATGTGCCTGTTTTGGCCACTGCTTTTAGGCAGCCCAAACTTGTAAACAACGTAGCTCAATCATTTCTCCACCGATTTACATGAAAAAAATCGCACCGGAATTGTATAGATAATCTCTATCCAAATGTATAAAAATATACAATGTATTTTACTTCAGTGGCTATGCAGCACCTATTAACCTAAGGCTGCCTGCTCGAGCTATCAGCTTCACAAAAGATAGGATTTAGGCTTAGATTTGCAGAGACGAAATGATTTATTACTATGTGGCTTCAATTCTACGAGTCCAGACTTTTAATTACTACCCCTAAACCATGTTAAAGTACCCATTCTTAATGGTTATCTCGGCATAAGGGCCACAAATAAAAATTCTGGACTCGTAGATCGATTGGAATTTAAATTCTAAGTAAAACACTCCTACAAATCATGTTCATACGTGCTGTGGTTGAAAAGGTATAGTCCAATCTCTCCAGAGTGCCAAATTTGGCAGAGAAAACAGGCTGATTTCGCATTTTTGGAGCAATAAATACAATTTTTACATGGAAAGCCCTCTCAGTCAATTCATTCACTTAATTTCATCAAACCCATTGCAAAAAATATATTGAACTGGTGTTGTGGAAAGTACAAGCTCAATGTCTCAAGAAATTGGCCATGTGACACTGTCACATGGCATGTCACTGGTCGTCACACTTAGCAGGGATTGTGCACCGCCAATCCTACGAGCCACCAAAGCTCTTGCGTGGGTAAGTTTAGCCATGTTTGCCCCCCCCTGAGTGACTCGGTTTGGGTTCGACCCTTTCCTTCGTCGTGTTCCTCCACCGTTTACTGTCGGAAATTTCCCAGCTGCCTGATAAGGCACCGGCCTTATAATGTAGAATACCGATATCATCAGGCCTGATCAGAGGGCATTTTCCTCTCACGATGTTGCGCCAAGCATGATAAGGTTTGGCCCTATTTTAGAACGGGGTCCAGGGTTATCACGACTGATAAGATCGCGAGTGAGGAATGCAAACGTTTGCTTTCCCTTCGACAGCTTGCAGATTATGGCTCCCAAAGGCAAAGGAAGTACCAGAATGGATGCTGGAAAAGTTTCTTGTCAGTACTGTGGCAACAATTTCGCTTTGAGGGGCATCGCAAGTCACGAACGGTCATGTAAATCCAAACCTCGAGAGACTGATGCATCAGAGAAGGCATTTGAAGATCGTGTCCGCCGTGAAGGCTTATTGTGTAGGAGAAATGGTGCTCCTTTTGGGCATTCAGTTTACTTGTTTGTCAAATAGCTTCATTCACCCCAGGATTACAAAAATCTGCTAGCAATGCTTCGAGCAGTCGAAATTCTGCACAACTTCGTGAGTAATTACAAAAAAAAAGAACAACAGTTCAAAGTTAACCTGCGTACACAAGCCTTACTGGAGCAACAAGATGGCCCAATTGTTGACAGTGATATCCCTAGTAAGCTCACATGTTACAAAGTTGTAAGGTCTGACATGGGGCTCTGCCCCAATAGACTTAAATCTGACACAAAAAAAAAAAAAAAAAAAAAAAAAAGCTCACATGCTGTCTTGAACCCATTTCTAAAATCTCTATTTTGCAGATCTTGATGATAACATGTCACCAACCACCAATCCTGTTACAATTGACCCCATCCTTGATGATATCAAGGTTGAATACCATCCACAGAGTGGGAAACCTACTCATGTCTATCACTTTGAGGATTATACCACATCTTCTGAAGGCACAGCTAATATGCCAGTTGATCCAGAACCGTGGAGACCATTTCGATCACGCCTTGATTTCGAGATTGCAGAATTGATTCTGAATACCCATATGAATAAATCTCAAACCAACCAGCTGCTCTCACTCATACACCAATGCATTCAAAGGCCATCTGAATTTACATTGGAAAACAGCACTGACTTGGAATGTGTATGGGAAAATGCTCGTATGGCACGCACATCTGGTGTAAGCAATTCCTTCACTTGATGCACATAATCTGAATATTTTCAGTTCTCAAAAATCACTGTCCCTGTCCCTTATAAAGAGAAAGAGGTTCCACATGATGTTTGGACTTACTCATTGTTTGACTGGACTCGTGAACTTCTTGAAGACCCAGGTCTCATTTCCCAATTTCATTGGCATGCTGAACGTCACTACAAGTTTAATGGTTCAAAATTTGAACGATTTATTGATGAACCATGGACTGCTGATACCTGGTGGCAAATTCAGGTACAATCTTGTGTGTGTGGAAGTCAACTTTGACAGTGACTATGTATTTTTTTAGTCATCCCTTCCACAAGGTGCATTGCCTTTCTGCATGGTCATTTATGCAGATAAGACACGCCTTTCATCATTTGGCTCTGTCAAAGGCTACCCAGTAATTGGTCGCCCTGCCAACTTCAATGTCAGGATCAAAAATGGAACAGGCATTGCAGGTGGGAGAGTGCTTGGATTACTTCCAGTGGTAAGGCCATATTTCTAAAGTTGTGCAGATCAGATGCTGACTATTCATGAATACAGGTGGATGAAGATGCTGGAGAAACAGGAAAAAAAGGATATGTCAATTTCAAGAGAGTTGTCTGGCATAAGGCATTCTTCCACATTCTGGATTCTATTCGAAAGTACCTCAAAACAGGTTACACATTTACCAATTGTGCTGATAGCATTGCACGGCATACATTCTGGTTTATTTTGATTGCATCTGCTGATTATGAAGAGCAGTATGTTTCTTTAAAGCAATCTCATTACCTATTTGCTAATATATCTCTAAGGTGTATGATTTCCTTAATTCGTGGGGCAGGAGGCAACTTTCCATGTCCAATGCCCCAAGGAGGAACTTCTCAAAAGTCATGGTTTGCGTGATGCTGAGGTGTGTCAGGCCAGATTCATCAGTTGACTCATATATAAATTTTGTTCTATGTTTTAGAATGTCTTCTGGATGTGCCATGGTTCAGATATACACAAAGCACTTTCATTTGATCGCCTTCATGCATACCATGGTGGTCTTTTCTCAGACCATTTGTTATCTGAATTCAAAATGATCATCAATGAGCTTGGTAAAGCATCTGCTAAGTTGCTTGATATGCAGTATGTTCCTAAATCCTGCTATTCAATCTGATTTGACCTGGTACCATCAAACATAGATTTGATGAAATGCCCCTTTGGAGTGGCCTCAACCATTTTAGTGCTGTGATGAAGACAGAGTTTGCAGATGGCTCAAAATATGAGGATATATCCAAGGTCACTCAACTACATTCTTTAATGACACTGATAATGATGCTCCATCAGATTATAGTATTTGCAGCCCATAACATTCTGTCCAAAGATGTAACAAAACAAGGCTTCCATCTTCTCAAGCTTATTCGAAGTTATCTGGAGCTGGACATGTATGTTTCTTTAACGACACATACTGAATCAACTATTGCGGCTGGTCGGGCTGAGCTACTTGTCTTTGAAAAATTACTACATGTGAGTGCAAATATTTAGAGCATATCACCACCTCCCTATCAATACATCAGGAATATATACCCATGAATACCGAAAAATCATGGAATTTTCCCAAAGCTCACAGCCATCAGCATGTTTTTGATGACATCCAGAACAAGGGTGCTACTCGAAACTACAATACGAAGCCAAGTGAAAAGTCACATGGTTCATTGAAATCAGCCTACAAGTTTCACACCAATTTTAAGAATGTTGAATCACAGGTATGATCATCATGTTCAGAATATTGTTTCCAGCAATTTAAAATATTACCTTTGAGATTCTTGAAGTCAATCAATCCCATCTGGTTGCAACAATCATACGCACGAAACTGGAGACTCTTGATGAGGCACAAGACTCCAATGAGGAGGTGGTTGAGAAGGATATAATTGGCAGCAAACATGTCTCTCTTGGCTCTCCAACTTCCAAGATTACACTCAAAGACATGGAGCAGCGAGGGGCTCAAGATTTTGCATTTCAAGATTTTCGAAAGAAGCTATCCAAATTCTTCTCAAAATACTTTGGGCATCAAATACAACTTCATGAAGATGAAAATGTAAGTTTTGTTTACACTCAACCACACAGATTCACTCAATTTTTCAGATCTTCCCATACCAATATCTTCGGGTCAACTATGAGTCAACAGTTGATTGGTCTCTGACAACAGATTTGCTCAGAGTGAATCCAAAATTCCACAACAAAGAGCGCTATGACTATGTTGTTGTCAAAATTGACAGCAAGAAATTCATCTTTGCTCAGCTATTGTGTATTTTCAGTTGTGAAGTCAAGTCAACCAAGTACTTTTTGGCTCTCATTCTTCCCCTTGATCTTCCACCCTCTCTAACCAATCGTGGACGTGATCGGGAACTACGCTTTACAAGACTTCGGTCGCGTCCAAGGCTTTCAAGCTGCTTTATCTCTGTGGAATCAATTGTTCGCGGGGCTCTTATTTCAAAGGATTATGGTGCAGAGTATGGTGATGAGTACCTTGTTGTTGATGTTGTTGATTTTGATCTGTGGTTGCGGCTGAAGACTTTGCCACTCATACACAGAGCAGAATTCTAGAGTAGCAGAACAAGTTACATGTTCAATTATGGATGAGGGAGGGTGAAACAAAGACAAGGAAAGAACTATCAAAAGAGGGTGGTAGTATTTGTGCATCTTTATTAAGGATAGTGATAGTGGGATGACAATACTCTTGTTTATGATTTGTATGGCAGCCTTATGCCTTTCAGAAGTGCTTCACACAATTTTTGGAAGGATAAGAATGAGTGCAAGAGCTTGATTTCTGTTTAGAGTTGTGGGAACATGGGATGATGGGACATTAACAGAATGCATCTCACTTATCTGAAGTTTCTCCTACAATCCTCTGGTTTATAATTTGTATGGCAGTCTTATACCTTTTAGAAGTGCTTCACACAATTTTTGGAAGGATAAGAATGAGTGCAAGAGCTTAATTTCTGTTTAGAGTCATGGGAACATGGGATGATGGGACATTAACAGAATGCATCTCACTCATCTGAAGTTTCTCCTACAATCCTCTGGTTTATAATTTGTATGGCAGTCTTATGCCTTTTAGAAGTGCTTCACACATTTTTTGGAAGGATAAGAGCAAGTGCAAGAGCTTAATTTCTGTTTGAAGTCGTGGGAACATTGGATGATGAGACATTGAGGAACTACTATATTCATGCAAATGACCACCACACTAATAGTCCATTGCTCTGAAAACAATTTGAATATGTAGGTATGAAGAAAGGCTTCCTATATATCACAATTTCATTGTGAAATAATAACAGGAATATCTTCTAATAACTGTAACAAAACAGATACTACTTGTGGAACTCAGCAAGCCATGGTTTTGTTGGATCTTGATCATCAAGATCATCATTGAAAACATTGTTTGAATTGTCTGAATTGGTATGATTGCTCTAAAAGGCTATCTAAGAGATATGTGAGTATGGAAATCTATCAGAGAATGGGTTTACATAAAAAGATGTAGCATTTTCAAGGACATTGCTTGATGACCATGAGACAGGTGGTGGAAATATGACAAGTGAAGGGGAAAGACTCAAGAAGTACTCCATGGGGGAGCACCTTTTATACATGACAGAACTTACAAGCAAAAAGAATGAAATGAAAGTCTGAGTGTACAAAAACAAAAACTCAAGCGGTTCCTAAAACCAATTGAATGAGTTGCCGATGATGATGTCATCCATCAAGTTGTCTACAGTAAGTTGCCGGAATGCACAAAGTTGCTCGATCGCGCATTTGATGTGCATTCAATGCGCATTCACAAAGACACTTCTGAATGTTCTTCATAACCTAGAAAAATGAACCTGAGACTGGAATAGAAGTAAGAAGAGTTTGTAAAATGTAAAAAGAAGCGAAAAATGAATGAAAAGAAGAAGTGCCGTGAGTGAACCAATCTGCAATTCCACACCATCCATCATTTTCATTCGAGTCTGTTGCGGAATATGTAAATATAGCAATTGTGGTAAGGCTTGCACAAATCTGAGCAGTCGTGTAGCACGGTGATTAAAAACACATTGTGTTAACCATTATTTACGTCAAATTTCACCTGTAGTCAGAGAGCAACAGGCCGATCAAGCTCGTTCTTTTCATTTGTTACCCAGTGGGCTGTGCAAAGACTGCCGAACTTCTAAATAAAATGCGATGGTCCTCCAGACTTTTTTTTGCTGGTCATCCGCTCCCATTACACACTCGAACACATGTCTTTTTCAATTGCAACAAGCTCCATCTCTTCTGGCACCGCTACCACATCACGACTTCAGCGTGACTGTACTGCGTTGATGTATGACAGCATGACTACGGATGAATTGAAAGAGGTACGTGCTACTTGCTTATCAATGCACATTTTATTTAAACTTCAATTATAATGACAGGCTCTTCGAGATGCGCACAGAGAAATCAATGATGCACAGCGCATTATCTCTGAGCTCAAGCTGGAGCTAGCCACTGCCAAAGTGAAGAAAGGCGGCCAAAAGGTAGGAGCATCGGAAGAGTTGTTGAGTGCGGATCAAGAGATTGCCAAGCTCACCCGGATATACATGCTTTTCCATCAACCCTGGGTCCGCGCCGACGATTTCCGCAATCCAAAACCATCATTTGAATCAAATAGCACTGAAAGATTTTCAAGCGACGATAACCTGAAGCTTGGTGCGACCATGGAACTGTATGATTGCGTTCCCGAGCGCCTACATGATTATATGCAAAGTCACAGCGACTTTGCGACAAAGGTTCGTATTTAATTCCTTTCAAATCTTTGGGATGGGCTGAACATCGTACAGTTCATGAAAGAATTGTCTTCTAGCCGTTCAAGCATCATCGATCGCCTGTGCAAAAATGCTGCCACAATTTTCGGCCTTACTCCTGACATTTTCTTGCGTAAATTCAATCGCTCAACCAACTCGACCATCAATACCTTGCTTGGGTACAATGCGAGCGGCAAGACAGTGACCACACGTTACCCACGCTTGCCACCTTTTTTCTTCGAAAACTCAGACGCTTCGGATACAACACTCCTCTTCCGCAGTGAATACTTGCTCAAGGTATATTTTCTCATATTACTTTCATCAAATTCTGATTTACTATCTTTATGGTCAGGTGGCGCTTTTAATTATCTACGGGCCGAGTGCGATATTTGGTGATGCACTGCCGATCCTGCGGTCAAACAGCCCTTACGCTTCTCGTTCAGAGTCTGGAACTACAGCTGGCCTAATTTGTTGTGTCGCAACCCTGGTATGATTTCGTTTTCAAACACCTATCACTTTTTTATTGATATTTCGTTCACAGGCTCACTTCATTATGTCAACGGATACTGAACTCACAGGAACGGGGGTTGGCAATGTGACTGGGATCGGTTATTTTGCCGACTTTGACGCATACAAAAAGATCTTGACACTTTCACGGGAATCTTCGTCAGCAATCATTCAACTTTACAGGATTTGGGATGCAAGACTTTTCCCCAACGTGCATCCAGCTTCGGAGTCTGGGGAGGAATTTGAAGACGACACGAACGGAAACGGAAACGACGATGAGGAGATTTCACAATTTCTTCGTCAACTTCATGTCCAAGAATCTCCCTCCCACCAGCATTCAGCCTCCAGCGCGCCGAACATCGGGGAATCGGATTCATCCCGCTCCTGTGGCTCCACCCCCCGTTTCCAGTCCCTCCATCACGTCCATTTTAAACACTGGGGCGACAGCGTTTGATTCCCAAGGGACGGACTCGGAAAATCTCGAAGCTGTGCAAGGTCCAGGGGATAATTTGACAGAGCCCGTCAAACCGCTGCCACGCCGCGCCGCCAACAGGCGACAGGTTGCTGCAGCTGCACCTAGCTCCATCAATTCCACCGAACCTGTCATTCCGATCGCTGCTGAACAGCCTCAGAAGCGCACCACCCGTGGAAAGAAAGGAACGACGAAGCGCCGTTGATTTCCCTCGTCGGATGCAGTTTGCGAGTTAGTTAGCTGTGGTCGTTACTTAGGAGTATATCTTCCATTGTAGAATACTCCGATTATCAATTAAATGTGTTGTTTTTTCGTTTTAACACGAGCGGCGACATTTGTTCCTACTACTTGCAGCTAGTGTGTCCTAATGGCTTATAGTAGACCGACATTGCTTGCTATTTAACGGTCGAATGGCTTAGTGGTAACTATGAAGAAGTCCAGTAACAGGTACAAATATAACAAATAATGGTAAGGTCCAGAGTTCAAATCCCGAGTGCAGCACCAGTTAAACATACAAGTAACTAATAGTAATATGATATACAACCTACTAGCATAATGTGGTCGAAGTAAGTAGGTACTTCGACTAATATAATTTTCCATTCCTATTAGAAAGTCAGGACCGACTTGTGAAGGCACCTCAGCCTTATCAGGCCTGATAATCTGATCTAATCAGGTTGACCTCAAACTTAATAAATTAACTGCAAAATTGTAAGCCATTATTAGACGTCAGGTGCCTTGGGTGCCTAATAACCCTTATTAGGCGCCAGGGAAATTTCCGACAACCGCTACGAGGAGCTGGCCGAAGGCCGAGCGACGAGCAGTGTTATTCAAAATTGTGTAATGTAAAACAAAACCAACAGTTTCGAGCGGTCGGCGACGAGCAGCCAATACAAAATAAGTAGATGGCCACTTACAAGAAAATCCATTTTCTTCTCCAATGTGAAATGCTAGCGCTCCGAGTCGTAGCCATCAGACGGTCACATAGATGACCTTTTTCTGTAACCCCCGCAAAGGCAAGTATTATTTGGATTGGTCAATGTAATTTAAGTACCTAATTGCAGTAGCGGGCTTTGCGCCCGAAGGCGCGCTGCGGTGGTTATAGGGAGAAACGCAAGGCACGCAACCGGATCAAGAACGGATTTGTTGGGCAGTGCCACTGGAGACAAACAAATCCTCCACGTGGCTTTCGTTCCTTGACTCGGAACTCCATCCCGAATCCGACGAATCGTTTTGAAAGATACTTGTGCAGCGCGATACCATTAGATAGGCATGCCCACTCAGGAGGACGGCTTTGATGGATCCAATAGTAGTGCGCTCGTCGCACAACCAGAGGTACGAACCACCCACTTGACTTGTTCAGCGACTTCTCATAATCGACCTCCAGCCACAGCCCCAACTACCTCCACTCGAGGGCCAAGAGTTGCTCAAAATGTATCCTCAAAACGACGTACCCAAACCAGGCTCTTCTATTAATCCAAATTCCTCCACACAGGAACGCCAAGTTCTTCCTCTTCGACGTTGCAGCTGTCAAATGGAATGTCTTCGGAATGGGATCGGTCATTCTACTCTTGGAAAAGGACAAGACGGCGAGCGTGATAATGAAATCACGCACCAAGATGTACGCCAACTTTAGCAGTAAGTTGGCTCGGTTGTGTCGTTGGCTGCTCAATCATATTTCTGTTTCGAATGTTTCTAGTCACTGGCATTGAGTGGCAGTTAAGCATGGGATCCACAGAAACCAGAGCATTGGTTTGTAAAGTCCCCGCGGATTCTTCACGGATATGTGATCAAACACAGACTCTGGCAGTTCGATTTGCGTCGGAGGACTGTTGGTTCCCTTACTATTTGAGATCCGACTGGTGAAGTGCTCACTGCCTCCTTCTCAGACGCTTCACGATTCAGATCTGTGTACGAAGATGCCCAGAAAGGTGTCTTCAGTGGACAAGATGGGAGTGCAGGCCCCGAGAAACCCGAACAATGTCCTCCGCACGGTTTAGAAGATGGTCGAGGCTGATGGATGTTTTTGGTTTCTGGACGAGTATCTGTTGGTCTATGGACTTTTGTAGGTGATATATACCGTACTGCTGTCGTGTCTGGACGTATTGTTGTATTTATACCATATTATAGTCGACAATGAGTGGTTACAAGCCTGATCATAATACACGTATGTCACAAAACGGGGAGAGCATAAACAGAGATAGCCAGAGACAAAAGATACCTAAAAAAACCGAAAGCTTTGAGCATCGTCTATCATCATCAAGCCTCCTTCGAAAGCCTTTGAATCTCCTCCAACCCCTCATCATGATCCCAAAAGCCCATCGGGTCCGCATCCCTTTTCTCCTCTTGATTATCCTGCTCCCTCTGCTCCCGCTCTTGCTGCTGACCCAATATCGTCTGCACATCACCAACCCCAACCCCACTCAAAAACCTCTCCTTGACAGTCCTCTCCTCCACCTCGCGCTCTTTAACCTCCTTACTCGCAACCCACCACACCCTTTCAACCACATGCCGCACCAAAACGCTCACCAACATGTACCCATGCGACGCAACGAGAGAGACCAGCACAGCTTTGAGCAAGAGCTCCTTCATCGCATTCGGGTTGTCCCCGCTCCGCTGGTGGTGGTGCTTGTGGTGGTGGTGGTGTTTGGAGTCGGCGGACAGAATAGCGGATTCGGAGAGAAGGTCAGGGGAGAAGAGGTATACGAGCGCAGAGTTGGTAAGAGCTCCGACCCAGGTGAGGAAAGTGAGTGCGTCGAGCCAGGGCCCGATGGTATCCGTCCTCAATGCAAAGGGGCGGCGATTGTGCACTGCAATTTTGAAAGCATCGGACCGAATCTCAAGGAGGTTGTTCAAGAACGCCATCACTACAATCAGCACATCAGAACACACGTCAACGAGGGGCAAGAAGGACTTGTCTCACCTCCAGCCAGGGGCCAAATCGTCGACCAAAGCACCACATACCCAAACTGCACCACCATCTCGTTATAATCCACAAACAGGTCGTACTCAGGCAACGCCGCCTCCGCCCTCACCCTATCTAGAAACACCCTTTCCTCAATACCCCCACGCTCCTTCTCATCCTCAAACACAACGCGTTTCTTCGACCCACTCTCCGTAGCTGTAGATTTAGACTTCCGGAACGCTGCTATGGCTTTCCATACAAAGGGCAGACCAACCTCCGTAAAGGTATCGACGATCTGGCCGGTAACGGTGTACGCGAACATCTGGTCACGAAGCCGAGCCGGGTTAAGCTTTCGACGTGCATTGTCGAGATCCATCTCCCACAACTTGTGCGCATGCTCGGAGTGATGACTGCCATTGGAAACCGGGTTAGCTTGAGCCGTGACGGCTGAGTTTGACATGGACCCATTGAGGCTGTTGAAGAACTTGGCTCTGAGACCGAGCCCAGAGACGTTGGTTCCAAGTAGTGCCTGGACCCACTTCATCACACTCTGTCCAAACGGAACGTAGACAAAGGCGGAGAGCCCCAAACCGAGGTAGGCAACAATGGCACTGAGAGCAAACGTCTTGAGCGTGAGGGACGCATGGTACGTAGACTTGTGTGCGTGGTTCTCCCACTTCGTCAGGCGGACTGCCAAAGCTTGATAGACGGCTAATACTTGAGGCACCAGGAGGACGAAGAGCACAGTAGGCGAGAAACCCTGATTGTCAACGCAAACGTCAGAGTGATCAAGAACCTGGGAAAGAAAAGACTGACAATGAGCTGTTCTCCAGGCCCCGTATAGAGTTCGGTGACGAAGGCTTCAACAACAAAGATCCCAGTCAAAATGGCTCCCAAGATGCCAGCAAACAGGAGGATAACGGGCGCAGAGGCGAGAACACGAAGTTCCCTCACCCACCATGACATGCCCGCCTTGTACTGGAAACGACGTTTCTCCACTTTGAACGACCCTCGGGTGCCAAACCGGAGGGAAAGGATGCGCTCGCGCACGCGCCACCATTCGACGAAGAAGATGCCCCATACTGCGATGAGAATTGAGTAGATGGGAGAGTAAGGCGGGAGGACAAAGTGTGAGATGAGCCCCAGGATGGCGGGAAAGGCGAGGAATATTGTATACGAGGAAAGGAAGGCAAAGTATAATGCAACCGAATCACCAAACTGCAACGAAAGGAACGTTAGCTCGCTGGTACATTGTCAACGCCCGAGAGTAAAAGAAAAAAAATAGGAAAAGATATGATAATAATAAAGGTTTGAAAAATGGCCCAAGTTCGGTCAAGAGGAAGCCCAGTCTCTATAATGTTCATTATAGGGGAACTTGGATTAAAAGCGATGGTCAACTCACAAGCCCGATGGTTGCTCGGTCACTGTGGATCATTGCACAGGAGATGGGCCGAAGACGTCCGAGAGTAATCTCGACGACTTGAATCGGACTCAAATCAACAACGAACGTTTGTGCGAACAAGGTTTTTGACGTGCTCCGACGACGCAGCCCAGGGGAACCGTGTTTGGAAACCTTGGCGCCAGAGCCCATAAACGAATGCCATTCATTGGTCCACAGGGATGGTTCCAGGGAGAAGTTAGGTCAAAACTCAACGACCGACTTCATACGCAGAGCCTATCAAATGAAAGATCGGAGCATGAAGACTTTGAGGACCATTAGCGAACATTCAAAAATAAATAAAAGGAAATAAGACATACAGCGTAATCTGCAGAATGGAATCCAGTCGGGAGGACTGTATGGAAACAGAAGGGAGGATGACGTACAACTCAATCTGCAGCACGGAACCGAACAGGGGAGGTGAAGGCACCCATAAATAAACTACCGCCGCATGCCTCAACATGTTTAGGTAGATGAGGGTACGCGCCGCAACTTCAGCTGAGGATATGATAGATGGGCGTCTATCAGATGAATACACGTGGACTGCGAGCAGCCAGGCCACGGCAGATGGGGAGGCTGCGGCAAATATGAGCCGCAAGGCATACTATGATCATAGCGCCTGTACGAGAGAAACTAAGCAAGGACAGCATGAGGGCATGGCCAACAAACCTACTGGTTCATCCGGCTTAACGTGGGAGAGTAACCACATAATGCGACGACATTAAAGAAAAAAAGAGAGTACGAAAAGAGAAAACGAAAGAAAGAATATCGGAACGAAAGACCAAACCTTACCTGTTCTCTAATCTTTTCGAGTTGAACGGAGGCAATGTTGCGCGGTGTCCAAGCCCGAATCCAATGCTCATTGAATTCACGGTTATGAAGGGGGAAGATAGATTCGACGAGGTCCCATTCTGGCGAGTCCGGAGATACCCCCAAGCCACCGTCCGCCGGTGTGGATGAAATGTATTCATGTACAAGCCTAAGACGATCAGCAGAAGACAAAGGTTGCAAGTCGGCGCCAGATGCAACGGGGGTTACAGGAAGGCCAGAAAGGAAGTCCGATTGTCTGACTTAAGTCAGAAACCAAACCACAATCAAAGACAACGACGACGCTCACCGTTCTCGCCTGATAAGATTATGAACACGGTCCTGTGGACACGTCACAAAGACGAGTAAATGACCAAGCATTTCTCCTCGTCGGCCAACAGCCTTGAGGCCGGCGTAAGTGAGAGTCTCGATGAGCCGCGTGTACTGCTGCTCGGCCTTGCGCACGTCCTGACGTGTGTGGTGTTTAGAGACGTTTCCTGAGCGCGATGCCCTGAAGGCGATGACGAGGTCGACGTCGGGCGCATGGTTTGTTGGCATGGCGCCGGGCCAGTCGACGAGGTCGATGAGCGTGGAGAACCACGGAAGGTGGGAGAAGGCGGATGAATTCAGCTTGGCGAGACAGAATGACGACAGAACGTGTTTTTTTAGCAACGTCACTGACTCACTGTCGTCACACACGAGGTTCTCATTGTTTGACCATCTTTGTACACCACCAACACACTCAAAATATCAAAACCTTCGACCCTGATACGATTGAGGTCTTTCCGGAAAACTGCCTGAAACCAACAACAATCGCTCTGAAAAATTCCGACTACAGTGTGCAACGTGTGATCAGGTAAGAAGGTCCTCTGAGTCACTCAGTGGCGTAAGTACTCGACCGAGCAGCTTCAGCGTATCTGACTGGAAGCGAACATAATTCATAGCTTTTTCCATCAATTTCAAAACAAGTCTGTTTGAACCGAACAACATCACAACGTGGATGACATCCGAGTGGCGTGTCCTGATTTCCAGCTCAAATTAAGTATCCCATAACAAACCCCGTGCAGCATAGCAAAGTTGAAGACTCGAAGCTTCGGTCTGTGTTGATTGAAGAGGCAGCTGACCAGAAGATACTCAACGTACGAATCAGCTCATCTCTGGGCGCTTCTTTAACAATATTGCTTGTCATATTGGTTCAGGGTTTATATTAAGTAGTACGTCCATCAAACACGATGATCCTTGCCGACCACCTCCCGATTAATGGCGCTTCCTCTTATGTACTATCCTTTCATAGCAAAATGGCAGACAGGGCCGCTCGGAAAGGTATAAAACAACGACGGAATTAACGCAAGAAACTATTCCAAATAACCCCGTCACTGAGAGTCAACTGCATCGTCTACCATGAAATTCGCGTCCACGATTGCCGCCGTTCTCCTCACCATTCCATTCATGACCGGTGCTGCCGCTTGCTCACCTGCATGTTGCGATATCATTGTGAACTCCGTCGAACCCGCCGGAACCTCTGGCAGTAAGTCATCGATCTACTTATCCCCATCTTCAGTAACAACTAACTTAACCATTGATCAATCTGTGCAGTCAGCTGCACCCCAGGTGGTATTGACTGTGGTTTTGTAGGCCAAATAACAGCATGTTGTCAGAGCGTGGTACGTGCCTTGTACATGTATCCTGCATAGATTTCTAAGAAATGCTGCCCCAGAACCCCTTGACTCGTATCGGGATTAAGTGTACCGCTGTTTAAAGAAGGGTGTTTGAGAACGTCCATATTTTCATGATCAATGCCAGTCAGGATGTAAATTGTGCAATTGGAAGTTATCTGCGGGTTTGGACCCTCCATTTACATAGTCCTGTGTTTACCGCGCCCCCGAAACCGCGCTAGAAAATGTTTATGTAATCTTCGGACTCTGAAACCGCGTCGCGTCAATATTTCCTCGTCGCCCTGGACTCTCGACGCGTTTTTTGTCGCATGGCTTGTTCTACTATCAGTGACCAGGAGTTTGAAACGATTTGACCTTTGGCTGAATTATGCCACAACCGCTACACTCCGGGCCTCCAAATTTTGTGTGGTGGTGAATGTGTATCTCATGAACATGAATATATTTTTAGTTTTTTTATTGAACAGTGGTGGAAGCTGACGGAGGCTTACCGGTCGTCGAAGTCGATTGTTTCGGGAGATTGAAATGGCTGTCACGTCTAAGTCACATCCAACTGTCAGAATTTTGATAGGTGATGCGACTGTCAGGGTTCAAAACCACGCAGCCCAAAATCACGTCTGTCACGCTCAGCAGACAAAGAATCAAAATTCATTGGATTATAAGCATAGTTCTTCACCTTTCTGCTCGATTTTTTTGTATTTGAAGTCGCGTCGTTTACTAATACATGCTTGTAAATTTTTAGATACCCTAATGCAAAGGATCGGATTAGATCTTGAAAATCATTTGCATACATCACGGTTTTGATGCGCCGAAAACCACCTTTTAAAATCCTGAGCTCGTCAGACTCGGTTGTTGCACAAAAAAGGTTGATATTCATATTTGTAAGAGTCATAATTAGTCCAGAAAAAAATACCAGAAAGCCTGTGTCAAAATTAAGAGAGGAAATCGGGGATTTCAAACTCCTGAAGCATATCAAACTCCTGGTCACTGATAGTATCCCCTCAAATTCAACGGTAATCTCTTCTAACCATTGCTTAATATGTATAACAATGCTTGGACCGTCCGGTCTTACCAGAAGAACTCTGCAATTCAAGTCCCAGCAAAAACCGCTTACATTTCGCCATTCCAATCACAATCTACACCCGGTTCCACAAGTCCTGCAGCCATAAGCCATGCACGTCCTTCGTTGTTCGCTTGCGCAACCAATCTCGTTGGTAACTATGTCCAACAAGACATCAGGAAAAAAAAAAAGTATAGGTAGTTTGCCCCTTGTATACATTGTCCCCATTGTTCTGACAATATACCCAGTAGGCTGGTATGAAGGTGGTAGACGTTGGTAGTTTACAAGTCATGTGCTAGTAGTCCTGATACACCATCAAGTGATGTCAGTTGCTCGAGTTGCTTGAGTTAACCTCACACTACCATTAGTAGCCTGGGTATTATTAGTTGTCCCGGTACATTCACATAGAAAATTGCATTAGACTCTTGAAATATTGATGTTGTATACATCACGTACAATATACATGAAGATCGAGCAAGTATCGGAGAAGATAGAAATCATGCTGATGAAACTGGTGCTGTTGCCTAATTCTGAATCAGAAATGTTTCTAAGTCCATTCGAGCTCCGATGCCACGTGATTCTATGTTGACTTCTCACGGAAAGTTCAACCACAATCGTTCGTTCTTTCTTTCCCTCCCACCACTGACACCACGTACATTTATCTTACACGATGACAGATTTGTCGTTGTCGTCCATCGGTGAGCACCCCTGTCCCAACCCAACTGACTTGACCCACCAACAGATGACTACACGACAACTACAACGGCACAACGCAACGACGACAAAAGCCGGCGACGACACAACAGCGATGGACGACAATGACAGATGACGATGACAGACGACGACGATAGACGACGACAACTGCACTACGACGATAGGAGACGACAACCACACTACGAGGAAAGGTGACGAACACACGACAATAGCATGACGATGACTGCATGCAACGACGATTACACGCAGCAACACACGGTAACACCACTAGCGGCGACGACCCACCACCACTCCCAATCAACGCCAACGATGGCCAGCGCCACACCCCACCCATGCCAACAATGGCCCACACCAACGCCAACAACGGCCCACCACCATGGCCCACCAGCACCCCCATGAACGGCGAGCACAGCTCACCACCAGCACCCACGACGGCCCACCACCCCACCAACGCTGACAATGGCCCACCACAACACCCACGAACGGCGACGACGACCCACCACGCTCAGTGACAACGGCCGAGCACCCCGTCCCACCAATGGTGAACACGGCCCCACCCACAACGACGACGACTCACCAACACCCTCCCGAACGGCTGCAACGGCCCACCAACTGCACGAGCAGATTCAATTGTGCAACGATGGCTCAGGTGATTGCGGCTCAAGTCATAATTCCGGTGTGGTTAACAAAGAAGCTGCCATCGTTTCTAGGCGTGTTGGTGACGCCAAGGATCGGGTTCAAATGGAGTTTGATGGCCGAACTGGGGATACCAACAGTGACTTATCAGCCTACGTACATATTAGTAGTTGTTTGATAGTTAGAACTCGCAATGCAATTTTCTATTTTCGTGATCCCCAGTGCCAAAATAAGCATTGTTAGTAGATCAGGTAGCTGCTGTAGGCAGGAACTACTGAGTGCTACCTTCGAGTATGGGGGGAAACTGAGATGCTACCAAGATACTACTGGTATCTACTGCAGTACAAGGGAAGACTACTGGTGTCTACTACAATGCAAGGGAGAACTACCGAAGCAACATATGGGGGGACTTGTATACCAGGCTACTATAAATACTGTGGCTATTTAGAACTACATAATCAAGTTATTTTTCCCTGATGGAGATACTAAGCTTACCATGAAGGACGATGACACTCAGCTCGGGTCGTGCATCCACTAATGGCCGATGCCCAGAGGATAGCATTAGGTTGGTTACTTGGCAGACCTTGGGGAAACTCAACATTGCTGGACTTTGTGAGAAGTACAAGGTGCGCGCGCGCGTCTCTTGGTATCTCACCGAGCCTATGGCTGCTCCGTGCAAAAATCCTGCTGTGATTATGAAGGAGCGCCGCCCCCATCCCATTGTACGTATTTTATCACAACTTGATGTTTAATTATACTTATCTCTTCAATTTAGGTTTAAGTTGGGGCTATTGGCTTTTTTATCCTGCGAAACCATTACACATACTGTGCGAAACCATTCTTTGCGGCAAAGTCTCATATCGACGTCAAACGTGCTCATAACCGATTTCACCTTGAACTAAGGCTCCAACCGTATAGTATATGTATAGGCCTGGAGGTCTAAATATACGGATACGGTTGTATACCGTATATTACTGTT